TCTCTTCAGATTGTGATGTTGTTTCAACTTGTTTTCTTATGCCATTAATCAGAATGATAAAGCGGCAACAGGAGGTATTCCACTTGCATCCGGAGTGTCTTCCCAATGTATGCTCATGATTGATGCAGTTCATTTTAGAGAAGTCTGCAAGGGAGCAGCATCAAGCAGACACAGACTATTGCAATTGGAAAGAAAGATTCTATCATAAATTCTAACCCAGTGAAGAGGGAGTTGTTTGCTTGCTCAAAGGTTTTTCCTTAGTATGCCAGATTCAAATAGTTATCTTGCCAGGAGTCAGGACATCTTTCAAAACAGTCAGTTTTATGCAAAACTGTGAAATGAAGGTCCCTTTTGTTATTAGAAACCTCTCTGCTCTTCCCTTAATTCAGTGGAGGTGAAACACTGTTTTGAAGGGAGCTTACAAGACAAACTACAAAAGTTTAGGGTATTGTTTTTATTGCTACTGCTCTCTATAGGCAGTATGGTCTGATTAGAATAAAGGTTTTGTTTGACAAAAGTCAGATGGGAGCTTGCTGCATACCTGCAATTTCCAAATCTACCAAACCTGAAGATAATTATGGACAAGGTAAAAAAAGTCACATATATTAAAATCTACATGAAACATTTAAAAATCCCTCCCTCCCCCTCCTTTTTTTTTTTTTTTCTTTTTTTGGCATCCTTTGTCAGCAGGGTGTTGTAGAAGAGTTAACAACAAACACACAAGTGTCCTTAGATATATTCTGCCAAATCATACGTGTTTTTCTGTCTGTGTAAGAGCCACCATTACTGGTGCATATCCACTCAGGGACTTTCTGAATGTGACAGTAGCTGTAATACATCAAGGTGAGAGCTGGCTCTCAAAATCAGGATGTTGCCTCTTTATTGTGAGAATGTCTTTCCTGTAGAAGATGAAATTAAATGATGATAATTCGAAGTTACTGCGTGGTGTTGTAAATTAGATTTATGATGAGACATTATTCATGTGATAAGAGGATTGTTGTTTGTTGATTTTGATAGCCTGCAGGATGACAACTTAAGAATGTGAGAAGCACATTGATGAAGATTGTTATCAGATAGCACTGTATGGAGACTTTGGTAGTAGAAAGCAAGGACAGGCAATATTAATTCTTAAAACAGTTCCTGCAGCTGTTATTGATCATGCAGATAATGCAAGATATAAGATCCTGACAAAAGATTCCTCAGTTTAAAGTTGCCCATAAAATGGGCGATTAGTAATTTGAGTATGAAAATGCAGCGTTCTTCTGAGGCTGCGGCAGCGTTACCATCGAAGAGCTGCTGAAGGCTCTTTAGCAAGGTAGGAAGGGGAACAGATGGTGCTTGGAGCCAGCGCTCCCATGTTGCCTATGGACAATTTGTTAAAACCAATTTTCTTATTTAAGTGGTAGCAGCTCAGCAGCCTGCAGCTCTCGTGATTCCTCGGTGCCCCTTTTATTTGATGCAGGTGAACAGGGGACAGCAAGTCCAAGGCAGCTGACCTTGGACAGGGATCATCAAATCAGCTCTTGGTAACAAATCAGTGTGAAAATACCTGAGGCTCAAATAAAATAGTATCAAACTGCTGTCTCTACATTTTTTTTTAAATCTAAAAAATGCATTTCTCATATTCCCAGGCAACACATTTTCAAAAAGACTGCAGGCAAAAATACCTGCTTTAATATACATTGTATGTATGCAGGTTGACAGTGATTGCCATCTTGCGTACAGTGGGCTTCCTTGAAATGCACAGAACCTGCTTTGACTCAATTACAGTTGCCATAAAACTTTGAAATAATGTGAGCATCTTACATGAGGGTCTACTTTACTTAATAGAAGTGGAGTTACCCTCTTTTTAATTACACTAGCAAGTAAGACAGGGTGATTGGCTTGGTAACTGTGAATGTGAGTCTTGGAAAGTAAGTGCCCTCTAGGAATTCTTGTTAGTCATTCTCTTGCCAGCTATTGCAAGACATGGGAGGAGGGGTTAATTGATAGCTCAATTAAATCTCTTTCCTTTATATTAAGTGATCAGTGTAATATACCTTGCAGGTGCAGGATACAATACTGCTGTTTGCAATAGCTGCTTTCTACTTTTCTAGTGCTATATAAACAGCACATTAATTTTAAACATCAGTCTCTTTACATCCATCATTCATTTGATTTTTTTTTTTTTTGAGGGCTAATAATCCCATATAATGAGTAGTTCGTGTAGCACGACGTTATCTTTTAGGTACTTAGTTTCTGTAACTGGCATACAAGCTCATAATGCCAGATTAGTAATTTTAACTATTAAATATGTAATGTTCATCTATGCTCTTTCTCACGAGAAAGGAAAATAAGTCCTTTAAAAGTCATTGAGGTAGGACCTTCCTGCTTCCTCTTTCCCGAAGCGTATGTGAGCGCAGCGTTTATGAGAGCCTTTTAGCCAACCTACAGAGCGACTGGCAGCGCTGGCTTGTGACAGTGCTGATAGAGCAGTCCTGGATATGGGGGCAGCCGCCCTCCGGGGTCGCTGCTTCTGCACGCCCTGTGTGTATGTTCGGTTGTCCTTGCCCCTCGGTCAGGTGGTCTCTCTGGCCCTCTAACTGCCGGTGTCTCCAGCACTGCGTGGTCCTCCAGGTGATGTGGTTTGCAGTTGCAGAGTGGAAGGCTGCAGAGTGATGGAGATCTCAGCCCCGTCTCCAGGGACGGGTGCAGGGAGCATCGGTTCACTCCTCCTTGGAGAGGCAGCCGCAGCGCGGCACGCGGCTTCGCTGAAGCTGCTGTGGGTCAGAAGGTAACTGCGCCAAACATCAGGTGCCTGGCTGGAGCCGAATAAATAATTCCTGGTGTGTTGGGGAAGGCATGGTATTCTGCGTCCATTCATGGGACTGTAGTGTCTGGCCTTGCTGGGGGAGAACAAGTAGCTCACCTTTCTGAAAAGCAGGGATATAAACTGCCTGAAGAGTTGGGATGACACTGCTTTGTTTCACTTAGGTCGTTTGTCTTGCAACTCTAAGCTTGAAACGTTTTGGGTCTCTTCTCTAGGAGAGTTATTTGGCAAATGCAGGTCTAATAACCCTAGAAATACAAAATGCATGGTCCCAGCTTGAGTCATAATAGTTTTTCTTTTAATTTTAAGCACTGAACAAGACTCCAGGGTTGATGTATCTTTATCGAGAACATCCCTATTAATAATGCTTAATATGAGTAAAGCATCATCTTGGAAGTGTGCCATAGTTGTTTTAGAAGCAGCATGCAGACAAAAATTGATGTAGTTTAATTGTGTGAGGTTAAAGGATCCTGCAGTGGTCCAAAGATTTAGTGTTAGATCCAATTTCTTCTGGAGTTTAGACCTTTCAGTAGGCTGACTTTTCCTCAGTCCATTTCAAATTCTTTACAGGTTTTCTGAGTTATTAATTCGGTTGATAAAACTGGATTTAGTAATCAAACGAAGGCAACTGTCAGAATAAATAGTACTTGAGTATTCTGCTAATGTCACTAGTGGCATAATCTTTATCTATATTTTCATTTGTGTTTATGGTATGCAGAAGCCAGCTATTTTATAATAGGGACAGATATGAAAAGAATATATCCCAACAATTTGAATGGCCAAACACGTGAAAGATTTGACCCATTTTGTTGGTCGTGGCATTTTGTACTTTGGAGACACTTTAGGGATCTTCAGGTTAAGAATGTTAGAGGTCCTTATTTTGAGTGCAGATCATTCCAAAGATGGGTCTTAAGGAAACTTGCATAGCTGCTTTGCTAAATAAATGGAATTACCCAGATGTTTTAATTAGAGATGCCCTGTGCTGTCATTTCTGTCAGTACAAGCTGCGTCCTCACTATGGTACACAGGACACTTTGTAGGTGTCAGAGTAGTTACTCTTTCTGGAGCAAAGCAGCAAAGCGTTGAGACTGTAGTAAAATATAATACAGACTACTCCAAGTTATAGTCATACTAAATAGGTATTAATTCCTCAAAATCCATACCATTTATGGATATATAGCACCTGCCACTGTTTGCCACAATAAGAACATTTGTCTTGATTTTTGTTTTTTAAATCTTGATAATAGTGAGAAAGTGATGTCTCATCTGTAATACTGCATAATGATCTTTTAATGCTGGCAGTAAATCTGTACTTGGCTTAATACTGTGAGATACGTAAGTCTTCCCATGTGTTCAAGCTGGTTTATGTATGGGGTTTTACTGTAATAAAATCATATTCTTTGGTTGCATGCCACAAAATAAATTGCAACAAAGATCCCTTTAAAATCCTCTGCTTCTCAGCCTTGGGAAGGAGGAAACATGACCTATTTGTGTAAGAAAACAGTTCCTTCAGATTGAGACAGCACACAAAATTTGTTTCATAATAAAAAGTTTTTAAAATAAACTTTGAGGGGAATTACTGTTATTGACTTCAAAATTCTTATACATCGGCTGTGGAGAAAGGTGCTATTATTACTCTGTTACTGTGCAGCAAGGTGCATTACTGCTGGAGGTGTGTGTTTTGCAGGAAACTATGAACTACATACAGTTTGCTCTGTGTGTCTTAGCAGAGAACAGAACATGTATGTAACTTGTGAATATGCAACCTGAACTGCATAAATTTGCTTATGAATTAAAAAAATTAATTCTAGCATTAAAAAAATTAAATTCCAGCCTTTTTTGTTTAAAAAGAAAAGAGCACCAAAAGAACCAAATCAAACAAACAAAAAACAACACCCTGAAACCCAAACAAAGTCAAGTCGGGCCATTAAATTACCTTTAAATGATGAGCTTGTTACTGCCTTAGGAAGTTCCTGGATTCTTCCCCACCTTAAAAAACATTTATTTGGTTTGACAACAGGGAGGGCATGCATGTGCGGTGTATTTGTTAATTTGACTAATCAGAGAAGAGAAGCCTAACTTCTCTTACACATTGGATCAAGATAAAGAAAGAGTACTTAAATGGCAGGAAGTGCAGGACTTCAAATTTATGTGGCTCCTATTCTTCATTTTGTTCTGTTTTACTTTGCAGTCCACTCCTCTACACCTAGCAGCAGGCTACAACAGAGTTCGAATAGTCCAACTTCTGCTTCAGCATGGTGCAGATGTTCACGCAAAGGATAAAGGGTATGTAAAATGAATTGACTTGTTATCTGTTTGCAGCAGCAGTTTTGTGTTAGTCAAGGTGAGGAATTATTTCTCTATTTCATGTGGCAGCATTATCTCAAACAGTTGGCTGAGAATGCGACATTTGCTTCCAAAATCTGAGTGTGGTTCATCATAACAGAAATTTTCTTAGAGCCTTAATAACAGATTAGCTGTGATTGCACATGTTCTAAGTCTTCTATTACACCTTTAAATTTTTCTCCAAACCTTATTCTTTGCTTCCATGGATAGTCTATGCTGTTAAATCATAGCTTTCTAGTATTATTTTAGGGGAGGTGATGGGGAGAACGTACCATGGGCTTAGTGAAAAAAATGTGCATTGAAAAATTTCTCGGTAGTCTCATTATCCTGTTGCATATATATGGATGTAATTCCAAATAACATCAATAACGCTCATGCTCACACAACTAGTGGTCCTTAGAGACCTATCTTGATTGACATTGCCAGCAAAAATGAAGATGTAGCAGAAGCTAAACTGTTCTATTTTTGCAGTAAGGACATTGGTTATCTAAGGCGCCAACAAAAGTGCACAGCAGTCAGAAATCTGGAACGATACGTGTTTTACATTGTTCTCAGCCATACGTTTCTGAACTCTAAGGTGATGATTCTCCTGGTACTCTGATAGGAAGGCTTAGTCCTAACATTGTAGAAATTGGGCCCCTGGTTAAAGGTGTGCATTTTTGTATTCAGGGTCCGTAGAGGGTAAGATATTAATGAGTGTGTTCTGTCTCCATCAGCAAACTTGAGGCACTTCCTGTATCTTCATTTTCTGCTGAGTCCAGCCTAGAAAAGGGATTTTTAAATTAAGATCTTAGCTTTTTTCTTTTTTTTTCTTTTCTTTCCAAAACCAGTCCCTAGCGTAATTAAACACTTGAAGATTGACTAATTGTAGCGCTTTTGTCTGTACATTCACCCTTAATGACTTTTTTGATGTGAATAGTTGTGAAATGCATGATGACCAATTATGTAAGTAACAAAAAAACGCAGAGTAAATTTGCATGTAATACCTATTTAGATAGATTCAGCATTGTTAAGCAAGTTTTAGGCATTTCACACCTTTCTGAAATTTGAGCACTGCAGTGTAGATGCTTTAATGAGGTTTGAATGATGCGGTTGGAAAGTATGAAAAATGCGAAAAGTAATTACATTGAACTTGGGGGGGAGGCAGGCCAGAAAGGGGCCGGAAAAAATAAGAAAGAAAAGAAAAATGATACACTTAGTTTGTATAAACTTAGAAATAATTCAAACATATTTAGAAATGTCTGACAGCCCAGTAAGCTTCCTCTGTTTTTTTAGCGGCATCACCCATTAACAATCAGTGTGGTCTTTGGGGTTTTTTTTGCTGTTTCTTTTTTATACATAATTTGTAAGTAAATAGGCTATAAATAAATGTCATCATTTATAGAGCTAAATTAGGTTACATCGATTTTATAGACCTATTAGATTCTCTTCAATGAGGTCACTTTGGACAGAGTCCTGAGGAACTGTGACACATCTTCAAAATGGTCATCACTTCTTGTTACTCCTGGAGAGGACCACAGCCAAGGAAGCAGCTCTTTTTCCCCTGGTCCTTTCTTTGCCTTTCTGGCTATCATGCACAAAGTCACAATGTGCTGGAAAACAGGAGAGTATGCTGCAGAAGTGGCCAGGTGGATTGCTGCAGTGGCTGGTTTTGCTCATGAGACCTTGAAGGCCTCGGTCCTCTTAGATGACCATCATTTTGGAAAAGGGCAGGTTTTCCGAGTGCTCTGTGGACTGGATGGTCTCCTTCTGTCTCTCACACACCCCCATAAGTTATAACAAGGAAAAGTAAAGACAGAAAATAACAGTTTGAAAAATTTCGCCAAAACAGATTTCCCTCTCCTGTGACAAGTGCAATGCTGCTTCTGAGAGCATCTACCTTAAAATTAAGTTTACCCAGTTACCTAGTACTTGCTGTCCCAATGCTCTTTGCGTTGATTTTGCAGTTCTGGGAAACATCCCCTGTTTTTTCATAAAGGGTGAAGGGTTAATTATTGTTTTCAGTGTATTACGCATCCTGATTTGTTGAGCCATAACTAGCCTATCTTGCTTGGATTGCCCTCCATAATAATTGTCCTCTTTGCAACTCCCTTTCAATGCATGACTTTTTTATTACATTTTGTGCTTATGACTAGATCCCTGTTATTTGCTTTGCTAGTGTCATTTTTAAGTATGACCTCCAGTAATACAGCTGTATAAAAATTACAGGGACTCTCTTAGAAGTATCTTGCACAGTTAAATAGGTTGTACTGTAAAAAATGGAGTAAAATCAGGTTATTCCACAGTCTGGATCAGCTTTCTGTGGATATTTGTATATCTTCATAATACACCCAGGATTTACGTTAGTGTTATTTGGGGGACTTTTGCCTTTCACGTAGCATTTTTAAATAAATAGGAGTTCATATTTAGGCAGAAACATAACACTGACTTCTCTTGAGCAAACTGAATGTGGAACGGGATTTTTCCTCCCTTAATAGCTTCAAGAAAGATCATTTCAAAGCCAATTAATGCTAATCTTAGTGGTAGATTAAACATCTGTGGCTTGTTAGGACAAAAACCAGCCAAAACATTTTAATGCCAGTCTTAAGTAACATGTTGTTTGGGAAGGTTAGATTTTTTCCATTCATTTGTGAATCTTAATTTTTAAATATTTGAATATTTAAATATTTTAGTTTTAATTTCATTTCTGTTCTATCTCAGTAGAGAGAAAATTGTTCTGTCTTCTTCAAAAATGCTGCTTAAATAAATTTGTCATTTGCCTTTTTCCATACAGTGGTCTTGTGCCTCTTCATAATGCATGTTCATATGGACACTATGAGGTTACGGAGCTGCTGCTTAAGGTAAGCAGAAGGATGGAAAGTAATTACTGTAGAGTTGGATGTGTTAGGCGAGATATGAACTGGTTATACCAGAGTTGAAAAGGAAGATTTCTTTTTTTTTTTTCTGTAGTAACAGGTTTCAAATGTCCTGTATGTCATTTCAGAAGCCTGCAACTTTAGGTCTTTCTGTGGTACAGTATACGTGTTTTTTCCCCCCACCTAATTTCTTTGGACAGATAGTAGAGTTTCATCCATTTGAATTTTTCTGTGGAGAAATCTGTTCTACTGAAAAACTAGCTCATACAGAAATTCCAATTTTTTTTTTTGAGGATGCAACAGTATTTTTGTATATACAGATATTTTTAGAATTATTTTTTTGCATGTATGTGTTCATATATGAAAGAACGGAACCCGTTTTTATAGTGAAATGAAAATCCGTGAGCTTTTAGTTGTTGAAGAAGATTTCTTACTAATATAAGGCTATCTTTGCTGCACTAGCATGGTGCCTGTGTGAATGCTATGGACCTCTGGCAATTCACCCCCTTGCACGAGGCTGCTTCCAAGAACCGTGTAGAAGTCTGCTCCCTCCTGCTGAGTCACGGTGCGGATCCCACGTTAGTCAACTGCCACGGCAAGAGTGCGGTCGACATGGCTCCAACGCCTGAGCTAAGGGAGAGACTGACCTGTAAGTGTTTACAGACTGGAAGCAGTTGTCGGTATAAAGGCGTAAAGGGGTGCTCTGCTTTCAAGCCACGTTCCTCATACTTCACACGTAGGTGCAAAGCAGCAGAGTCACTGCAGCTGTGCCTCTCGCTTTGAAATACGCAGATACCTCTAATATGCTCTTCGTGATATTGTCTCGTTTTCTTAGATTTAAAATGTTTAAGGCACTGCTGAGTCAGTGACCATGGGAGTTTTTTATGCTTATAGTCGAGTTAAGTCACACAGGAGCCTCTGTATCGAGGCTCTGTATCACACTTAAAAGGGTAACATCCAGGAGGTAGGTAGCTTTGATGTGCAAATCTGAAGAGGTGGAAATTCCAGAATCTTCTGTTGTAGTCTTTGCAGTCCTTATGCTGTTTACAAAACAATGTTTCAGCTCTAATTTGAATTTGTCTGCCTTTATTTGCCCTCTTTTGGGGATTTGTTTTCTCATTGTTATAAACTGTAAAGGATAATTAATTGAGACAAGTATGGAAACAAAACATTATGAAGTTACGGAAAACTTCTTGAGAAGTAGATTCTAAACTCGATTATAAATAAGCTTTTGGTTTTGTCTGTCACCTTTCCAATATAGCAGAAGCCCCCTGACACACTAAGAATGTGATCCTGCACTACTCACAGCTAGTCAGTTTGTCACCTGTCACTATTCTTTGCATGCAAAGGTGGTGAGAGCATGTGCAGCAGAAAACTGCTCTAGGAGAAAAGAGGAGGGCGTTAACAACTTTTAGCTACTTGTCCACTCTATTCTGGGCTAACTTAGGAGATGCCTCTGACTTTGGGGCACGTTAATTTGCCATTTGTTTAAATTAGCAAGCAAGCAAAGAGAAATCTATTTTAAATTTTGGTTTATTTCTTTATTTTTAGTTCCTGCAGAGGAATGGGGAAAATTTCATGTCCATTAATATCCACTGAAACGTGTACACAAATGTGAGCATCATGCCAAATTTGACAGTATCTTGATGGGACATCTTGTATTTGCATACCCAAAATAACATGTTTTGTCTATTCTTGAGTTCTTTGATTTTATACTTTGGGAATAATATTACATTTATTTGTTATTTCGAGATTTATTTGTACTTGCGCTTTGTGTAATGCTTTGTTTACAAAGAAATTTTAATCCTATTTGAAATGAAAACTTAGAAGTTAATACATTTATTTTGATTTCTAAATCCACAAATGCACTACATGTTGAAACAGGGGTGGGAGAAGAAAGGCCCTATTAACAAGCTTAGCATTTCAAGCTTGCTTATGAAAGAAAAATGCTGGTATTTTTGCTAAGATTGTTGATATTATTTTTTTTTCTAGTGCCCAGGTTCAGATGTCATTCTTGCTAACCTACCTTTCATTTGTAGATTTTAAGAGAAACAATTTTAGTCCTCTTCAAATTCAAAATGATTTAAAACTAAAATGAACTAGTTGCTGATCTTAACAAGATGTGACACTAAAAATAATAAAATTACCTCTGCCTACTTGCAAAGATATAGCTGCTATCAAAACCCATTTCATTTTTGTAGCAGACTGGCTTCAAGTGCTTAGCCGGTTAGCTTTAAGACTGATAGTTTAATATTTTATATTTAAATTATATGTTCAGGCTTTACCTTGAATTGTTTGTAGTTGTAAATACAATGAAGTTTTTAGAAAAGCAACTGTAATGCTTTTTTCTGAAGAGCATGTAATAGCATTGTGCTCACTTGAACGCATAAGTAATTTAGAGGTTGCATATGCATTTAATATCAAGTGGGTGGAGGATAAAAGAGATAAAAGCTATAAGGATTTTACTCAAGGAATCACTTCCCCTCTCCTTTAGAATGTCCCTTTGGTTTCAGTAGGCCGTGCTTCGTGTTCTGTGTCCCAGGTCAGCCACCGTCTGAAGATGTACAGAAGTACTCCTATTTCTTCTTCATTTGAATGTAGCTGCCTTTCTCCAATAACATTCATAAATGTGACATGTTGCTGAATATTAAATGCATCTTTTTCCTCTAACAGATGAATTCAAAGGACACTCTTTACTCCAAGCAGCCAGAGAGGCAGACCTAGCCAAAGTGAAAAAGACACTTGCTTTGGAGATCATCAATTTTAAGCAGCCACAGTCGCATGAGACTGCACTGGTGAGATTATACAGTCAGTCCGTTCATTTTATGATAAAAGCCGTGGTAGTGCTAGATGAGGAGTTTTATTTCTACACTATGAAAATGTATTCATCATCTAAGATTGAGGATTTGCCATCAAACACTTTATATATAAAAATTAAGTCACCATCATAGAAATAACATCATATCATTTTTTATCACGTTTTTCTTCTTTCTGGTAGATTACAGAAGCCCTTCAGCCACTCCTCACCTGTTCGTTTTTCCACTTCTCTTCTGCTTTTTTTCCCCATCACTCTCTTTTTTTTGTTCATCAGTTGCTGTATTTTTTCTGGGGTTAAATTCTATTCCAGTGGCCCAGTGCTTCCTTCATGTATTATGTAGGCAAACTTGGATTACAAGTTTTCTTCGTAGGGTACATAAAATTCTGGTGAAAATAGACACTAGGTGTATATCACAGGCTCTTATAGGATTGGAATAGTACTGATAATACCACATTAGCTATGGAAGCAGGGGTCTCTGAGACTTTCCTGGCAGTATCCTGCTCGTTTCATTGTTTGAAGAAGCAGTGGAGGCAAAAAACATAGCCAGTATCCCAGATACAGTGAAGATCGTGAAATTGAGAGGGACTGATGATGTTATTAAAACCATTATAGTTATGATACTTTATTCTAGCAGAACACTTTCTTCACAGTGGTAGGTCTCAGCTGCAGGCATATAACTGCATATTTAGTGTTATAAACACTGTGATGGTGATCAGAACATTGTGTGTTGACTACCAAGTACCCATATGCTCTGTTCCCTCGTTGGAGGACTCAGCATCCCAGCCTGAACTTAGAGGCAAGACAGAGAAGAGACATTTAGAGGCTGAACATAAAGGCAGTAGGGAATTTGGGATGATGTTATCCTTTCTTGCCTGAGTATTTCAGTGGCTGGTATATGGCATCTCTGTGTAGTGATCACTTTGTAGTCCTGTGGTGTTCTTTGCTGTTCTCCACCTGCTCATTCTGCAGAGACAGCTAGGCAAAATGGGATATTTTAGCTCTATTGATCTTTTTGGTTCACTGTTCAGTAAGTGTTTGATTTCTCAGTTTCTGCTTCCTGTTCTTGACATTTCCAAGTGGTCTCCCATCCAAGTGGCAGGAGGTAACTTCCAGGCTCAGATAAGGTTATGTACAACCTAACTGAGCTATTCCTGTCCCAAGCATGGTATCTTTTACTATGGGCACTGGGGTCTGTGCCCTGTTACCCCACAAAGGCCAAAGCAAGCACCTGGTTTGTGTTTCAGTGTTGCTCTGAGGTTTGGCAATATTTCAGCATTTATGTTGGGGGTTCTTATTAATACTTACAAATACTTAAAGGGAGGGTGCCAGGTGGATGGGAACAGTATTTTTTCAGTGGTGCCCAGTGACAGGACAAGAGGTAACGGGCACAAACTTGAACATAGAAAGTTCCATGTTAACATGAGGAGGAACTTCTTTACTTTGAGGGTAGTGGAGCACTGGCACAGGCTGCCCAGAGAGGTTGTGGAGTCTCCCACTCTGGAGACATTCAAAACCCGCCTGGACGCCGTCCTGTGCAACCTGCTGTAGGTGACTCTCCTCTAGCAGGGGCGGTTGGACTAGATGATCTCCCGAGGTCCCTTCCAACCCTGACCATTCTGTGATTCTGTGTTGCTTTTAGTGCTGTTTTAACCTGTCTTTATTTCCTGCCAATGTGATGTTGTCTGCAAAGCCTCCAAAATACTGCCACTTTTCAGATCAAAAGTTGATCTTAATGTTTATTTACAAAGCTTGCCTTTGCAAAACTTGGACAGGCTCTGCTGACAACAGCAGTGTGGAAGCTTGAGTGGCAGTTACTTCATAGTGAAAGCTGAAACTGAACAAAAGATGGTTATCCGTACTATTGCTACTTATTAGTCTTCTGTTTGGGGTCTGTCTCATTGTAAAGGCTATTGTTTTGCTATTGGAAAGTTTGAGAACTCTGTTCGAGCAGACAATCTGCTTTTTACGGGTTACTGATTTAAAACATGGGTAAACTATAGAAACAAAAATATTTAAAAGTATCTCCTATTTCTCGTGGTTTGCCATCTTGAGACATCCAAACTTGAGACAAGCATTTCTGGACTGCTTTTAAAGCATGGTGTTTGGCTTATCTGGAAGCGTACTTGTCATTTCAAGCCTCAGGAGTGCATTGAGAGGGCCACTGTTGAAAATGTCAGGACAGATTGAGTCTCGTCTCTGCAGAGATTACAAGCAAAAAGGGAGGAACAAAGCGATCCCTCCTGGGTGCTGAATGCACAGACAAACCAACAAGCAGCCCCCAGTTGCATTCAGGAGAATAGTTACGCCTAGCAAAGGGCTGTGCGGTGTTTCCACAAGGGCAGGCTTGAGCACTGAAAAGCACTGTGTGAAATATGTATCTTTCTCATAGCATGGAAAAGAAGACACTCTTAAGAGAACTTTATTGCCTATTTATTACATAATTTGTAACTGGATGCATGACAGAATTGCCATTGGAGTAACAAGTTCAGTACGCACTGAAATAGAAGAAGAAAGCAAGCAACATTCAAAAGATCTGACCTGTTAATCTGAAAACAGCAGCAGAATCTTAACAGACCCCATTGGAGTCCCTCTGTAGAAAGTTAGGCTGTTTCAAGCCCTTTGTCTTTACGTCTTCTCTGCATTACGTGCTGGTTTTTGTCCTGATACCTTGTTAATGTAGTTGGGAACGTACTGCTTTATTTGTCACTAAGGAAAAGCTTTAAAATGAAACTTGTTTTTCTGAGTAGAATAATTTAGCGTTGATCACTAGCTTGTATTTTGTTCAGTATGTTATATGTTTTGGCAAAAATATGATGGATTCTGTTTGCAAATTGTTTAGTCTGATGTTTAGCAGAATAGGAGATGAAGTCATGGATCTTAAAGCTTTGTCATCTGTGTACTTGAAATATAATTTATATTTACTTTTTTGCAGCACTGTGCTGTGGCCGCTGTGCATCCCAAGCGGAAGCAAGTTACAGAACTATTGCTCAGGAAAGGAGCAAATGTTAATGAGAAAAACAAAGAGTAAGTTTCTGAAATTTTTGAATTTTCCAAAGGACTCTGTCATACTGGGAATGTAAAACTAATATCTTTCTTCTTTGTGGGTTGTTTTTTTTTTCCTCTCTCCCTAGTTTCATGACACCTTTACATGTTGCAGCTGAAAAAGCTCATAATGATGTCATGGAAGTTCTGCATAAACACGGAGCAAAGGTAAATATACTTAAATATATTTTATTTAAGGGAAAAGAAGAAGGGTTATATTGTTTAAATACAGTGTAGTTTTTTATGATAGTTGTTGCTTTTTCTTCTGTATGATTTGTGCTTCTCGTGTTAACCTTGAAAAATGTGTTTATCTTAAATCAGTACAGGATGTTCAGGAATCCCATTTGAAAATTAGTTTTTCTCTCCAAGTAACTGAATACAGGCTATAGGAGTCTAGCTTACCCATTCTTCATAAATCTTGCTGCTGATTTCTAATAACTGTGATCGTCTAGGTGCCTCTTATTGCTTTACCTTGTTGGCTTGACAATATCCAATGTGTGAGTTAGCTGACACTGAGTTTAGCAGTCTAATGCTGGGCATCCCTTAGCCCTTGCTTGCTTCCTAGTCTCTTGGTCGGGTTGTTTTGCCGTGCCCTTCAGCCATCGACAGGTGCTGACCAAAGTAATTTGTGAGCCTATGGTGAAGCTTGCTTAGAAACACACCGTTCAGCAAGTTATTAATTAAAGGCAGAGGGAAGTATAACTTTCTTTATTAGGGATGTGTTTTAAGCATCTTTCAAAAGTATTTCAGAATTGTCTTTCTCTGAGTTTTAACAGCGAACTCATGGTAATGATATACTTAGCTACTTAATTGTCTCAGAAACTCTTCTTGATGGGTACTTTCTTTGCATTGTTTAAAATATAAATGATCTTTTTGCTTTTAAGGGGGCTCACATTACTCTTTGACTCTTTATCATCGTTCAGGTAGCTAGAAATGAAGAAATATACCTGTAATAATAATCTAGTGTGTTACTCTTGATGTGCTAGGAGGTGTGAGCAACGTAATTGTTTGCATAGTTAATACTAAGTCTTTTTATTTTGAAACAATGAATTGTAGTTTATAAGCCTGTATGAGAGCTCATTGCCAGATTTCAGTATCTGATTCACTTCCATAGTACTTTAATGAACTAAAATAGTAAAGTACTAAACTAGCTTAACAGCAGTACCACAACAGAGTTTATCTCATTTGAGAATCTCGATGCAGTGGTGACATACCACCAGGGGGGAAAGTAGGGCCAGAGGTCTCAGTTATAGTCATTAAAACCATTTATTGTCCTTTTTCCAGATTTACTCTTAGTAGCATACCTTTGCGCTGAAAGTGAAAAAAAAATCATTTTTGCCTCAGGAGTAGATACCCCATGGCTTTATGGATCTGATTTTGCACATGAATTCAGTGCTTACAGTACTTGGGTAGGCACTGAACTGGACATGCTGGAGTTTCAAGTGTATTGATACACAAGTATTATTTGCTTTGCAATACAAGGAGTTTGTGCACTGAGGGTTTCTGGAAAGCCTGCTACTATACTGTAGGTATTTAAATTAGTGCTTCCTTGAAAATCTAGCTCTGTGTAGCCAGGTTAGAAGCAAGCTCAAAAGACATCATCCTTACTGGCATGGTTCAATTTTATTGTTTGTGTCAGTAGCACATTGTGACGATAATTTGTAATTATTTTATGTCCTGAAGCAGGGGTTCTTAAATCATGATCCATGAGTCGCTTGTGGGCTGAGTGATGGTGGTGAGTGGCCCACAGTTATCTACAGAACCATGCTCAGTGGTGTGTTCCGTTGTTTTTTTCTGTTGACAGTATGCAAGCAGAGGTACATTGTTGGTCATTGAAACGCATTTTTCATTCATATCCTTGTGTATGCTTGCTATGTTATTCTGACGATAGCCATTCACATTTATGATCTAGCAAAGCACTTAAGTGCATGGCAGGAGACCACTCATAGTTAAAATTAAGCATATATTTTCATACTGCAATGGATCGGGTCCCTCTTTATTGGCATTCAGAGTTCCTTAGCTGTAAAGTGGTAGAATCATAGTTTTTCATGAGTGATCGGTCATTAAGGCTTTTGAAGCACTTTGAAGTTCCCATACAGGATATGCTCTAGAGTATTAATTAGTTAACTAGGCATGTTTTATGACTCTAAAATGTTTGTCTTGCTTGTATATTATCATTTGACCTCTTGCTCATGCTTTGAATGTAGGCAGTCAGTTGATCAGACACTCTTAACATTGATATTTCTTTGTTTCTGATTGTTGGGACATGGCAGCTTTAATCCCATTTGTTGTGTTTCTGGAAGCTTTTTCTTCATGTGTACTCTTTTTGTGCCTTGAATTTTAGTTACTTCATAAGATGTAGTCAGATGTCTTGAGCTCTTTGATCCCGTCTAGTTGTATTTTTTTACAAGAGAGGGTTTTCACCAGCTAGTGAATCTAGTCTGTCTGCAACAGCAGCCTCACAGTGAAATACACATTTGTTCTTCAAACAGCACTCTCCTGCAGTTTAAATACCTCTTTTCCATTTTGATGCTTCCTTTGCTGAGGTATTTGCAGTGAACGGATTCTTCTTAGCTTTTGTTTTGGTAGGCTAGAAGCCTCAAACACTTAGACTTCCCTCATAAGGGAACACTGCCATTTCCTAATGATCCTTATAACCCTTCTCTTTACTAGCACCAGAAGAAATCTTGGGGCTCAGGCAATGAGAATGGAATTCATTCTCCCACTGCCTTACGTGATGGCACTTCCATATCTCTAATGTAAATGCTGGACTAATGCATACTGGGATCATATTTGCCTTTTAAATAGACATGACACAGTAGTACTCACACCCTTCCTGTAGTCTTGTAGTACACAGAGAATCTCAATTACTTTTTTCTTGCTAATTTTTCGTATTTGTGCCCTTCAGCACAATTCTCCTGTGCCAAGATCATTAATGAAAACATTAAAACAAAATTACCCCAGAACCAGTCACTGGGCAGCCCTCCCCCTTTCAATACATTCAGTTCTTCAACCAATCTCTATTTTTCCATATAAAATAAGATTTTCCCATGTGCTTCCTTATCAAATGCTGACTGAAGTGTGGATGGATGAGACCTACCATATTTTCTTTACTTTGCAACCGTTTCTTCTATCAAAGGAAAGGTACTGTATAATTCAGCTTTAATCTACCTTCTGGAAACCACTGCTGATTACAGAGAGAGTAACAATTTGAAAAAGATGAGTAACTGGGGCTTCAAAGAAAGTGGAACTTTCTTCTTCTGAAATACAGTGCCAGAAGGCAGACAGCTGACCCACAGAAAGCCATCCAGTAATGGATTTAGGAGACAAAGTCATGTAAAGTTTTGTAGATTGAAAATAAATTGTGATTGTCTTAGCAATAGAGAGGAAACTGCTGTTTTCATGAGGAGCAGCTGTGATCTGAGTCAGACAGCAAAAGTGAGATAATGTGAAGTATGAGTGTTTGAGTAGGCTTTTCTTGTTTTGTGAAATGGACTGAAGCATGGTAAAGACTGCTTTAGGGAATTTGCTTGGGATGAACAAGAGAGAGTTTGTGGTCTTGGAGCTGGATTTAATTATCCTTAATTTTATCACTGTGTAAATCTGCTGTTTGAAGTACGTTAGACAATCATAAAAAGTGAAGGACTGCTTGAATAATGTGTGCTTGATCTAGATGTATTTTACAGAAATATTTCTAAGAACATTGGTATTGGCAAGAGTGAACCTATACCCACAAACTACTTACTTTGGTGTGGCTTGCTGGCCCTTACTGGACAACACAGACTAGATAAGTAATTTGAACTGTGAAGAAGTCCTTGGTGCACATCACTTGCACATCAGCATGTGATGTCTAAGCAATACCCATGCTGTGGTCAGTGAAGGATATTTTCATTAGCTTGTTACTGGAGTTTGCAGAAGTTGACTGTCAACCGTGCTTCTAAAGCACAGGTGAGAAACCTGGGGGTTTCTTAGAATTTTCTTCAAGAATGTTGGTCATAAATATCTGTGGTTTTAAATGCCATACCCAGTTTTTACTTGTTTGCCTGAACTGCAGTGTGAAACAGCATTTCACACCACTGCTTATTTGATGTTGAATATCCTCAAAGTGCCTTGATGAAAAATAAAATCAGAGCATCTTTAAAGAATCCTCAAACATAAGCTGTTTTTTATTAGACCCATGAGCAAATCAAGTGCCACGATTGTATCTTTGAAAATGGTTGAAATCCTTTATTTAAAAAAAAAAAATCATTTGAAGGTGGTGAACTAATGACAAAGTAGCTTTCATCCTGTTTTGTTGTATTGCCAGGTAGTTGGATACCTCTTATAACTAGCTCCTTGTCTGAATTTACAGATACATGGGAAATTTAATATGTTCAGAAAGACATTTGGCTTTCTAGCAGTGCAGAAGAAAAGGATTAAAGTCTTTTCTGAACTGGAATGATTGTTGGAAAGACCGACCTGCAAGCATGCAAGTTCACTGGTATCTTGGGCAAGTGTAGAGATGTCACAAATGCTACTTCTTTAACTGTGTTATGTTTCTAAAGGGTACTGTTGAAACTATTCTTCTGCAAGAGAAAACGAGCCTTTCTAAGGTCATGTTAGACAGATGGTGTCCCTGTTCATGATGGTAGCAGAAATGGCTTCATTCTGCTCTGCTTAGAAGGATCTTGCTTTATGGATCTTTGTATAATACAGTTATTTCTGTGCGTTGGAGTAGCATGTTGCCAGCCTTTCATGATCATGGATTTGAAAATGGTCGCCATTTATCTACACCCACAGGACAGACTTAAATGGTTTTGAATAACCTTGTTGTGTAATACATTTGCTTCCAACATTTCTGGTAAAGGTATAGATTTTTCTTAGGAAAGACTAAGCCTTGAAAAATTGGATTTCCTTTCAGAAATGTAGCAGGCTTTGGACTATGATTGTTAACAACATAAACTGTGTGATCTGTTGTGATTGTGTGGTTCAACTTTTCTCACTGCTTAGCCATCCAAACTTAGTGACATTAACCTTAAGCTTTTATGTAAAGGGACGACTGCGGAACATATGACTGGATCATGTAGGAGCTTTCAGAATGAAACTAGACCTTTCTTCTGTTTTTTTTTTCCTTTTTTTTTATTTCTGACAGAGCTTGAAATTGCCACCAGCATCTCTTCACTCTTACCGTGTGTATTATCAGTGATGCACAAAGACACAAGACATACTGCAAGTTGTCTTCAGAATAAATGCATCAGGAGAGCAGTTAGAACACTTGCGTTACAGGGAAGGATACCGTGATACTGGAACTGTTGGCAGAGCACAAGTTTCATGTGTGATTTTTAGAATGTACATCTTCTAGAAAGATCTCGCAGAGGAAATTGCAGTGCTTGGAAGCTGTTGCATTTTCTGCCGCTGTAGTGTCAAAGAGTAGGAGGATATTTAGGGCATTTGATACCGAAAAAAAGCTGATATGCTTATGAAGTCTTGCAGAAATGTTTTCTGAACGGGTCCCAGCTGTTGAGCTGCCACAAGTGCCTGGCAGCCAAGGGAATATTGCTGTAGCTGTGTACGCTGCTCCAAGGTAGCAGCAGTGCGGGGAGGAAAAATCTCTTCAGTGTCTGATGATACATGAGCATTTCAGTTTCTCTACTGCATCTCTCTAGGGTGGGGAAAAGGAAATTAAAGGGATAAATAGGAAGAACAGAGGGAATTCTGCATTGGGAAATGCTGTATAGAACAGTATCGTTGCATGAAAAGCTTTGCTTAAAACCACTTTTCTTTCAATAACTGCATTCCACTTTTATGTTGCAATTTGAGCAGTGGAGTGACTTCTTTCATGCTCAGAGGTGAAGAAGCCAGTCTGCTGTGGAATAAAAGCTGTCAAATCTGTCATTTTTAACTCCTTGCGGAAAGCTTGTCTGTGAAGTAATTCAGAGCTGCAACCTTCTAATTTCAGACTGCTTATAAAGGGAACCAGTTGAATATTTCTCATTTTTTTGATTAGTGCAGCTGGAACGATCTGCCTTCTTAGCACACAAATAAGGCAGTACACCTTGGATATTTTACATTTTGTCACATAGTGTTTAAACTTTAGCTTTGAATTTGAAAGGGCGTGTTTTTAGACCTAGCAGTGGTTAACCCAGGCATATGTCTTACCAGGTTTGATTTTTACGAGACTTTAATTTCAGTTTGTATTTCAATTTGTAATGCTCAAATTGATTTTCATTTGGAAATAAATCCTGTTGCTTTCAGCCTTAGTGCAGTACATTCTTGGGTTGGTTTTAGACAAGTGCTGCGTGATTGGTGAGAGCAAATCTGCCTCAAAGTGAACATACTCCCCATGAAATTGCCCTTCAAAGCCTAATTCTGCTCCTGAGGGAAAGAACAGCTTCATTTGCCGGCATCCCTCTGTCAGCTGCAGCCCTCTTTATCCCAGAAGTAAGCAGGCAGTGCTTCAAATGGCTGGCGTTCTTCTGCCACAAGGTTGATTGTTGGCAAAGATAATTATTTGGAGGTGAAAGGAGACCTGCATAAGACATGTGAGATGATGGATCTGATGACTCTGCCAGGGTTCTTTTCAAATGAATATTAACATTTTTTCCAGGTACACACTCAGTATCAAGTTGTGTACTGTGAATGCCTTGCTGCTGTTCTTCAACGATTTGTTCAGTACAGGCATGTTTAACACAGGAATTCAGTGTTACAGAAGATGTTAGTTATGACTCTCTCTCTTGAGCAAACAGTGTTATCAGCTACTTCCAGAATCCACAAGTCTCATTTCATTCTGCCTTTACCATCACTAAACCTGTATAACTCCAGACTTCTGCTTTTCTCAGTGCCCTTATCAGTGGTGAAAGGCATCCGGTGTCCTGAAACAGATGAGGATCACCATCTGAACAAAATGATGGATTTGGGACATTCAGCATCTAGTTAATATTTATGATAGCAGAAAGTTTTTATTTAAAACAAAACTTTTAGGGAAATCCCATTAGGGTGGCATGAGCTGAGCACGGTTAGAAGAAAGCAGACCTGTTCTCCTGTACATCTTCCTGCAAGAGAGGTTTGTGATCTGGGAAATTCCTGCTTTATGAATCTGTAGAATTGTTCAAGGATATAGAAGAATTTCAGGCAATATCAAATCACATTCCACTTTATTTATGTGGTAGTTCTTTGTTCTTTCCTGTGGCTTGATGTTGTTGGATTGCAGGTATTTTACTTTTTTTTTTCCCCCCTATCTGGTAGTAGATATTTTCTATGTAGTTACTCCCTTAATTAAATTTCATTTAGTTACAGAATACACATCTTATCCAAAACGTTTTTCACTAGTTTTCGTGGAAAGGTACTAGGATTTGCACTGCATTTTAGGTGAGAAATAACAAGCAAAACCTTTGTTCACTACTACCACAAAGATTTTGAGAAGGTAAGAAGGTGGGTTTTTACAGTAACAGTCTATTATGCATGCGGTTCACAGCCTGCAGTCCTTAGGCTTGGAAACAGATAACAGGTTCTGAGTTGCTTGCAGAGAATATAGAGTAGTTCTGTATTTCATAGAGTGGTAAAAAAAGCTGTTGGACATTTGCATTTAAATTTGTCATGAAATCGCTGCTAGGTACAAAGTATCTTCTTGAAAGGTTATTTTCATAAGGGTTTTTTCCGCTTTTTAAAGCTCTCTATTATTCTCATCTTTTCTCTGATAGTGAACCTGTGGAGATGCTTCTAGTTATTTAGATACTCTGTTAGATCTTGACAGACAGATAGGTTTCCATTGTATCATACTCTTTGAAAGTGATACTCCATTTTGCCTGTTTATACAGTCTTGTGTTGAGTAGAATTATATCCAGTTATACTTAATATTTCTGTAAAGGGACAAAAAATGAGGAAGAAATGGACTGTTTGTATCCAGCCTCTCCCCACTCCCCCCTTCACAGAATTTCTAATCTGACATCTTTGTTTTGCTCTAGTTCTTGATAGTGAGTAAAGTTGAGTTAATTCCCCTTCTGAGGATGACAGATGGTAATTTCCTTAAAGCTGGAAGATCATTGAATTGTTTGGTTAATTATTTACCTCTTTATCCTCTTCTGTGAGAATTTTGCTTTTCTTGCACAAGGTTGATCATCAAATTTATCAAAAGCTTGATCACTATTTTAAGTATCATTTTGGGGATCCTGTGTTGTCTGTTAGCCCTGCAAACAAATAACCTGCGTTGTTAAAAGACAGGAAAGCATCAGTGGTAAATTATCTTTACATTGGCATGTTTACCTATTTTGTCACTTGGTTTTGTTGCAATGCAGAGGTATTGATAGTTAAATGCTGGAAAATACTTGTTATTGCCCTTCTTATTAAGGGCAGGAACAAATGCAGGCTTTTAATTGTAACTATATTTTATATTACTGCTGATTTTTCAGATGAATGCACTGGACACACTTGGTCAAACAGCGTTGCACAGGGCTGCGTTAGCAGGTCACTTGCAAACCTGCCGGCTCTTGCTGAACTACGGCTCTGATCCCTCCATCATCTCTTTACAAGGCTTCACAGCAGCACAGATGGGAAATGAAGCAGTGCAACAGATTCTAAGTGGTGGGTAAAAATGAAGGCTTGTGTATGTGAACGTCAGCTTCTCCCTTTACGGCTGTGGATCTTACTTCTTTTTCAATGCAAGAGACTTGCAGTAGTTTTCTCATCCCGCCCCTCCACCATTGTTTGCACATATCTATAGTATGTATTATGCGATACTTTTCAGAAAACAAAAAAAAAACCACAACAAAACAAAAGAAGCCCTGCTCAATTTAGTGATTTTGTGCAAATTGTGAAGAAGATAAAGATCATCTGGATTTAGAGCATGCTGCTGTATGGGGAGATTCTAGGAAGGCAAATGTGGGGAGTTCTGGGGTTTTTTTGGTAGTAAGTTCCAAGGCAACTGGAATATTGCTGGACATGTGAGAACCCTTTTTCCTCTCATCAGCCACCCTGTTAGGTACTTCATACTTTAGGAGTTACAAGTAGAGTGTTACTCGCAGAAAAATGCTGACATACTAATACTAAACTAATACTAATACTAAACCATTTGAAGTTTTACCTCAAATCTCTTGCTCTTCCGGCAGAGAAAGATTTTATTGTGAAAGCGCTCTGGATACTCTTTAGATAACAATTTGTTCATATTTTGCATTAAAATGGTGAATAGATGTTGGGAGAGGGTGCCACTATTCCTCACAAAAGTACTTAAGGGTTTGCATCTTCTTACCCATGTCACATGTGAATTTCTGCAAATAGGGAGACCCGTTGCAGCTAGAAACTCCATTTCCTTCAGTGTTTTCAACAATGTTCAATGTTGCCTTAAAACAGGCAAAAAAATAAAAAAGGCATTTTACAGCAGTGCAAGGAAGGACTGTTTTGAAGTGTATCTACTGCTGAGACATAGCTGGTTACGCAGGTAGCATTGTCTGTTTAAAATATGCATGTGACTATATGTATGTGTATTAAGAGAGAAGAATGTTAGCTATGAATCAGAAGAAAGGAAACATATCCCCTGCTGTTAAAGAGAATAGGAGTTTGATTTTAAAAAAAACAAAAGAGTAAACTTACAAGTATTCTGAAAGCATTCATTTGATTGTGAATTAAAAATTCATTTTCACTGATTTACCTTTTCTGGGAAAGCTAGTTTCAGATGTCGTACTGTACTGGTTTTCATTGGACAAGCAGCAGCCTTTCTCTTACATTCCTGAGATCCCTGAAGGTGTTTGAGACTGAAACATTCAAAAGCTAAAAAATATCCACGTAGTGTGGGGTTGTTGACACTTTGTTCTCTGTATTTCAAAGCTAGTAAATGAATGCTGAAGTTATTTACCAAATATTACTACGTGCTCATTTTTGTAAGAATGGGTTAAAGAAATATTTTTTTAATTGTTGGAGTTGTTTTGATAGAGGTTATTACCTGACTCTTGAGTTCACAGCTTAAAATATTTTCCATACAGTATTAGATTTTTTTTTTCCTCACATCGATTGCTGAGCTACTTCCCAACTGTGAGATAACAACCATGAAAACAGCTTTCTGATTGCATAGTGGCCAGTGGATACCACTTTATCATAGAATCGTAGAATGGTTTAGGTCAGAAGAGACATCAAAGATCATCTAGTTCTAACCCCCCTGCCATGGGCAGGGACACTTTACTCTAGCTGCTTGTGATTTTGGTTGCAACTGGTGGGAGTATGGCCATGTAATATAAGAAAGCTCGTAAAGTGAGCTTCTTAATTTTTTCAAATACTTATTGGAAAATGCTGCTAGTTTTGCTTTTTTGAAGAGTAAGATTTGTTTTGTTTCTTTGCTCAGTCCAGCCTTTTGCCACTCAAGTTCTATCTAGTGGAACTGAAGTGTCTCCTTCCTGTAGTAATTAGATTGTGTTTCTGATTGATTTCCTTTTTTAGACTCACCAAAGTCAGGGTCTTGGCTATCTTGTGAAGACAAGGGCAGGAGTCCAGAGAAGAGATAAAGAATTGCTAAGGAGCAGAGCTTTGGATCCAGTATAGGACTTAGCCTCACCTGTTCTCTCCCTACCTCAGGACGCTGAGGTGGTGGTGCTGTTGGGGAGAGCAAGGGAGTGCAGATAACTTAAGGTGAAGAAGGTGTGAGCTGAAATCTTAACCCATTCCAACAGCAGCAGTTTGATGCATTCTGTGCTCTGCCCAGAGTCACCTGCATTTATGTCGAACCCCTGCTGCCATCCTTCTCTTGCAGCATGTGTTTGAATCACTTACAATCATAGAATCATTTAGGTTGGAAAAAACCTTTAAGATCATTGAGTCCAACTGCTTTCCAGTGGAACTGCTCCAGAGGATCAAGGTAGACTCGAGGAAAGGAGCTGGCAGCTTTGGCTGTATTAAAGGTGCCACTGTCCCTCTTCTCTGAGCTTTCTCAGCCTTTCCTTCAACTCAGAGCATTTCTTCACCTAACAGTTGAGCTTGTAGGAGTTGCTTCTCACTTCTTCCTCCTCCTCTTCCTGCAGTGAGTATGGAGGCAAGGAGGTAGCAAAAGGCCACAAAACACTGATCAAGAAGAGAAAATAGGGCTGCAGTAGGAAATACTACATCAAAGTGAATAGATAAGTTGATGTCCTTCTGTAAGGATAGCTAGTTAAGAAAACAAATATCCCTTTACCCATTTTCCACTCCAGTGATATAGTCACAGATTACATTGCAAAGACAGGAATTGACTAGATTCTGCAGAGGCTGTTAATCTGTAAGAAGTACCTTCTCAGAACATCTCTGCAGTTTCCTCCCAGGATGTAGTACCAGTTAGCTACGTTTAAAGAAGTTGTCTTAGTGTTTTTGATGAGTACCATGGCCATCTAGAATGAGTTTAGCCTGTAACAATGCTCTGACTTTCTTACAGCATTCTTACAGAGGATTGCAACCCCAAGTTCACCTTGCCCCATTTGTTTTGCACTAAGCAGTCGTTTCTGTCACTGATCAGGCAACATGCTGCCAAAACTTCTATTCCATAAATCCTTGAGCATGAGAGGAGTGGCTTCTACAACAGAAAGCAGTTTCTATTAAAAATGACGTGAACAGGATTACCCTTTCAGCTCCTTTTTGAGCAACGCTGAAGAGCTCTAGGAACTGCTCCTTTCCAGCCACTTCCAGAGGAAGACCTTGTCCCTCAATGAATACTTGCTTTCTCACAACCATATTTCTAATTAGAAGTAGGGTAGAAAAGAGTTTTGAGGCCAAAACCCATCATTGTCTTACAGTCACTTAAAGAGGAAAAAGGTATCTCACTAAAGGTCTCCTTTTAATCACTATGTCATTCTTCTGATTCTGTTTTTAATGACCGCATGTTTATAACAAGGGACGGATCTCGTTGTTGCGATGAAGTGCAGTACACGACTGGAGCATCACAAAGCAGGCAGTCACCATCTGGCCAGGGCCATCTTAGAAATGCCATCCCATCGTCACTGCTTCATAGTACGAGACACATCACAAGTGCAGAGCACGAAGGCTGTAATTCATCTGCTGAATTAAGCGCACTTAACCCTGGCTGTACACTGATGCCTCATGCAGTTTGCTGAAATTGTTGAGAGGTGTTTTTGATCTTCAGCAAAACTTTGAATTTTTCCCAGTGAGCGTGTAGATTTCTTAAATGCAGAAATGGTCATTTTTACCATACATAGAATTAGCAAAGCATTGAAATTCCATTTGGCAGAATAGTGTCAGCTCTAGAGTCTAAATCTGACTGGTTTAAACTGAAACTAAGGCTCCTTATTCAGCAATATGTACTTGAACATCACAACTCCAGCTTAAGTTTTACAAATGACAGCAGACTTTTTTTTTCCCCCGGTTTGGAAAATACGTTGAGCACAAGTTAATCTAACTTAGTGATCCTAAGTAATCCTAAAACATCTTCTTCCCTATGTAGAAAGTACACCTGTGCGCACGTCTGATGTGGATTATCGGTTGTTAGAAGCATCCAAAGCTGGAGACTTGGAAACTGTGAAGGTAGGTTTGAGCAATTCGTGTTAATTTTCCACTTTGTATTGCTGTGAAAGGCTTGTGGAAGCCTCTGCTACAAGAGTTGTGGAAGTAGTGCCAAGTGGATGGTAAATCCTAAAAAATGGGAAGGCAGATCTCTTCATTTTTTTTCTAGAAAGTAGGTGTTTCTCTGGAATTTTTGGTTGTTCATTCTCCCAGTCCTTCACACAGTCATGTCTTCGATGGACACATGTGCAATGTTGCAGATGCAGCCGTAATTCTTTGAAGGGGACCCTGTGATCCTCAGAATGACAGTTTAGTAGAAACAAGCCTCAGGTGCATGATGCAATCGGAAGGCAAGCAAACAAAAGTGTTAACAGGTAGCAGACTTTACATTTTAAGCCATCCTTAATCTGAAGGTGAAGGGTCAGGCTGTGGAGTCCCAGCATCACAGGAAGGTTTGATCTTGTCTTTCATACTTGGTCTGTGGGCAAAGTAGCCTATAGATAGACTGTTCTGCATGCATTCTCACCTTGAACTTCAACATGATAACGTATTAATATTCAAACAACAGCAGTTTTGTGCACCAGCAGCTCTTTTGACTGCCAAGCTCAATATTTCTAGATTTCTGAAGAGAACGTAAGGTGGAAATGGTAACGTATCTGGAGAAAGTGACATGACCTTGAACCTGGTGCTTGATGATTTAGAGGCTCACCCTTTCTAATACATTAGGAATGTCTTCATACTGCTTCCATCATTTAAATCTTGTTTGTTATAGAAGTAGTTTCAGCCATAAATTTAGAACAGCTTTTTTTTCACTTTGCTGAAGTGGAAAGAAATTTCCTGCAACCTAACTTCTAAACATTTTTTTATAATAAATGGATCAAATTTTGTGTTGGGGCGTTTGGGGGTGGTAGTTTGTTGTTTTTTTTTTCTTTTGGTGTCTTATGTTTGTTTATTTGACTGTGTTTTGTTAGGTTTGTGGGGGTTATTTGTTTGTTTTAGTTCTGTACTAGATTTTGGTTTCTTCTTTTGTCTTTGCAGCAACTTTGCAGCCCTCAGAATGTGAATTGTAGAGATTTGGAAGGCCGTCATTCAACGCCACTGCACTTTGCTGCAGGATATAACCGTGTATCAGTGGTGGAGTATCTGTTGCACCATGGGGCAGATGTGCATGCCAAAGATAAAGGGTACATTTCATTCCATGATATGCTCTCCTGTTTTCTATTAGTGTGAGACTTCTACCCCTCTCTATTAATTTTGCTTTGGATTTCAGTACCATTGTGTTTTTCTCTTGAAAATTTTTCTTTCTTTCTTGTTCTGCATTGTTCCTGACATCACCGTAGGGAGATTTATAGACCATTAAGGCATACTTAGCTTTCTGGCAAAGCTGTTGTCAAGTACGTATCTGGCACTGTAATATATGATCCTTCTCTTCCCCCTTTTGCCCATTTTGGAGACTTTGTTCTGCTTGAAAGCAGCCATATTTCAGGTGATCTAAAATTAGTTTTGAATTGCGTGGGGTAAAATACCAGGGTTATCTCTGGTCATTTTTCTAATTCTGTTATTTAGCTTTTATTATTAAGTTACTTACTCAGTTACGCGATACGAACCATTTACGGGTTTTTGCATTATTTGCAAAGCAATCATGTAGGATAGCATGATTGTTTGATCTTTTGCTCCAATATGTTGGTTCAGGGTGGGGGATAATTAATTTCCAATGCTAAAATATTTCCAATTCTGAATTTTCAGGTTCTTCCTGAGAGAAATGTTTGAGTATCTTTCTGTATCTCTCAGGTGTGCAGTTCTCACTAATAACTGTACTTAAAACCCGTTGTATAGTGTTTTACCTTTTCAGAAATTTACAATCAAATATCCAAAGTCAGAACATCGGTGATTCTTGCAATTTAGTCTTTGGCTGTTGCTAACAGCATTGAAGTTAATTGCTTGTGGAAGTAGTAACATTGGTGCTTTCTGAGTATTTAAAAGTCTCATGGATGAGAACTGAAGGAGGATAATGAAGTTTTAATTGATGTTTTAATAGCAGGGAAATAAAGCTATGAAAATTGGAAAGACTGAAAGATACCGCTAATGTCTGGTGGAAGTTTTATCTGCTGGAACTTTGTATGATTGCATATTGGATTTTATTTTCTGTAGCTATTAATACTTTCTCTTTGATTAGTGGCTTAGTACCCCTGCACAATGCCTGTTCTTACGGACACTACGAAGTGGCTGAACTCTTAGTGAGGCACGGTGCTTCTGTCAACGTAGCAGACCTGTGGAAATTCACTCCTTTACATGAAGCAGCAGCAAAAGGAAAATATGAAATCTGCAAACTGCTTTTAAAAGTATGTGCTGGAGTTTTCAGATCTGTCTTTAAATGTGTTTATGTTTATTTTTGCTGAAGATTAATTAATTAATGCAAAGTTAATGGCACTCAGTGAGTTCTTTATGGTGTCTTTGAATGTATTTTCATCTTACAATTGTCAGATGGTTTCTTGTGTAACATCAGTTCACTTACAGGGAATCATCAGTACAGTTACTTTTTCCAGTACGTTTATTAATACTATTAGCCAAGTAGGACAAGACTCTCAAACTGGAAAAAGCAGCTGAATTTGTATAAAAATACAAAACCCCCACGTTATCCTATTTATCCCTTTCTGGAACAGTTACTGCAATTAAGTAAACCCTTGTAAATACTTACACGAGTGTGTTACAGGGCAATAACTGAAGGTGGGTCCTAAATGGTGTCTAGCATGTGAGAAATTTAGAACTGTTACGTTAATGTGTAATTTATCAAGCTCCTGGAGGAAATTCATGTTAATATACTGTGGAATAAATACTCATTATAATTAGTGGAAGAACCTGTAAAAAACATGAGGTAACGCCAACATGTTTCCAGTGAGAAACATGAGTTTGAGAGAATTCTTAACGTAAGGTCATATCCTGCCATGGATAAAAAAGGGTGCTAGAGTAGAATTCCTTGCCAATATTTCCTATTTTAGCCTTGCCTGCTTCATGTCCCTCTGAAGTGCCGCATTTAAAACAAGAGTAAGTCAGAATGTGGATAGTCTTAAAACGATGAGGCTCTTCCCCATCCACTTCTCCTTTCATTTGCTGCTGCAAAGCCCCACTATTTCCCTCCTATCTCATTAATTATTTCACTTGATTACCATAAAATCATTCAGAGGGGGTAGCGCATCAGTTTGAAACACATCTGCAGTAGAAACCAGAAGATACTCAGAGATGCCTGTGGAGTTGGTGCGATGATGGCCCTGGTAGTAACACCTGAATACAGATGTTAGCTCAGGCTATAGGAGCACTCATCATTTCTCAAGCACAGTGTTATTTTATAGACACCGGAGGTCTCTGGAGTTTTCTGATCATTCCACTGGGAATGTAGCCATTTTTTGTGTTCAGAGGATCCCGAATGGATGTATGACAGGAAATAGAAAAGTGCTGAAATCTTTCTTTTTGAAATCACTCTTGCACAAGAGCTAAGTATGCTGTTCAGGTGACAGTTTTGTAAACGCTCTGGGTGTCCGTGGATATGTGCTCACACTGCAGTTTGCTCAGGGCTTCTCCTGCTGTGTCTCTTATGCCAGCTGGCACTGCTGTCAGTTCTGCTGAGCTGTGGATGTTGAACTTGACTCCTTCTGACTTGCGCTCTTTCTGTCCTGTTCTGCTTGAAGAAGGAAACAAAAATATACAGGCATTCTAGCGAGGCTTCCTTTTTTCATCACCTTTCTTTAAAATTACCACCTTCATTTGTTTCTGTGCCTCTGAAGGAGTCCCAGAAGACACTGCCTCTTCATTTAGATATTTATTCTGAAGAGTATTTGAATAGTTCCAATTTTGTTGAGTTTTAAATTAAGGGATCTAAGGTCGTGTCTTGGAGAAGTCATTGCAGTTTAAAAGGCTTTGTGCAAAGAATGCTGTCTTCCCAAAAGCACCACAGATGTGGAGCTGGTCCTGTGCAATCAATACCCTGTCCCATTCTGTCCCTTGCTGTGTACCCTTTACACCCTGAGCATTGCTGTACTGCTTCCAAATATAAGGCAGTTAATTCCTTCTGCTCTCCCCATCCCCAGCTCATTCCCTGTGGCTCACACTAACACAGCTTTGCCAGCATCCCCAGTGAGAAATGGCAGGGCAGACTTGCTGGCAGGGGTTAGACCGCTGTGTTTGATTATTCGGAAGGGGCCAGCCAGAGAACTGTAGTGCCAGCAGCTGCCTCTGCCTTATCTATCTTTGTTTTTTTCCCCACTGCTGCTGAGAGCGAACGGGGAAGGAGCTGTCCTCCCACAGGATTGTATGTGGACATGACTCACACCGTATGCTGTATGTAGCTGTATGCTTCCCTCCTCGTCCTGTGCTCCAGTACTGTGTTCTTATCACTGGCTGATCTGCATGTTTTACCTGCACAGATATACTTGAGCGGTCATTCAAATCTACTTGCCCACCAAAATGTTTTCTTCACTGCTTTCCAGGACCTGTAAACTGCCGTTACCTATTGGAAAGTGTAGAAATTAGTATTTTTCTAGTTCCTTTTTGAAACCAGTTCCTTTCGATAGTAGGGTGGCATTTAGTGAAACCTGGGGCCTGGCTTCGCTTGCTCAGAATGGTGTGCTGAGGAAACACCCCTGCCAGCCAGTTTGCAGGAGAAGGGAAGGATTGGCATCAAGGAATTTGCAGTTGGCTTTTCTGTAGCGCCTGCTGTGACAGTAGGGTATAGCTATATGCAGGGTATGCTCCTGAACCTGTTTCATTTGCAAGTAGAGCAGTGGCAGCTCTTGCAGAGGGCTGCTCTTCTTGCCTGTGGCGTTGAGATTCTCACAGCTGTGTTGTGGACCAGTGCTTTAGACCTAGCCTCCTGGATTTATTCTCATGGGCCTACTAATATATACAGTTATTACTTCACGATGGCTTGTCGTCAAAATCCCCCACCTCCTATCTTGTGCCACAAAATAGCGATACCGCTTACGTGCGCTGCTCTGCTCATGGTTGTGACGGTAGCATTCTACTTTGCTCTTTGCAGCATGGAGCTGATCCAACAAAAAAAAATCGAGACGGGAACACTCCTCTAGATTTGGTAAAAGAAGGAGACACAGATATCCAGGACTTACTGCGAGGAGACGCTGCCTTGCTAGATGCTGCCAAAAAGGGGTGCCTGGCACGAGTGCAGAAGCTATGTACTCAAGAAAATATCAATTGCAGAGACACCCAGGGAAGAAATTCAACACCACTACATCTTGCAGGTGGGTGACTCACCAGGTTTTGAAGGCTTGTATATTTATGATAGGGCTACAGAAGTTAATCACCAAAACCAGGATTGGTATATTAAGAGTTTCACAGAGGATTGTCCTGCAGAGAGTTGTTAACTATGGCAGCTGTATTTCAGGAAGTGATACAGTTACTAGAAAAGAGGAGCTTTTGCAGTTGAAAAATTGCTTTAGCTTTTCTGTCTAATAATTTTTCTTTCGTTTAGCTTTCCTAATATCTAATTTCTTTTCCTGTGCCTTTTCTACAGCTGGTTACAACAATTTGGAAGTAGCTGAATACCTTCTTGAGCATGGTGCCGATGTTAATGCCCAGGACAAAGGAGGATTAATTCCCCTACACAATGCAGCATCCTATGGGGTAGGTGCAGGCATTCTTGCCATGAGTAGACTAACAAGGAACTCCTTAGAGTCATATCCACAGGCCTTTATTTTGCAGCTGCCTTGCTGTGAACATAGTTCAGGTTTTGACAGCATATTTGGGCTAAGTTGCTGTTGTGAGTCCTGTTTGCAGTCCTACAGACCTAAATAAGGCACAGATTCAGGTGTGCTGTAGCAGTTAAAGGCTGTGGTTTGGAAAGATCACTAGAACATAGCTTTTATGCAGGCAAGCAGATACACAGCATTGAACAGCGTTAAATTTGGAGTGACTGTTGAAACGGAAAAGACCTCAAGTTGTTGCCGAAAGACTTGGATGGAAGGAAGAGAACAGTACCAGGGGATTGTGTCTAGGTGATGACAGGGAAGTGGAGGTCTGTCACAGCTGATCTTTGGTGGGGAGCAATTGCTAAAGCTAAAGTGTTGAAGGACTACTGAGTTTGTAGTATGTGTGTCCTCCTGGGCAAGCTGTCTACTGCTGTGGGGGTGCAGTGGCTGATTCAAACCATTTTGGATGAGGCAGGCCCTCCTTCCTCCATGTAGGAGGAAGCATCTGTGTGCATACCAGTTGCACAGATGCGTGATAGATTGTTATAAGCAGCTGTTAACTGGGATGAGGTGAGAAAGAAATCTCTTGCAAATAATTGTACAGAGACAGTGCTTGAGAAGCTCCCAGCAGTGTGCTTATGGGGGGACAGAGGACGTGAAAGTCAAGAAGTAGTGTTTTTTGATTGTCTCATGACATGCTTTGTCTGTTACTAGCTGTCCCTGGCACAAGAAGAGCAAAATCTGGAAGAGATGATCATAATAGAACCACAGTTGCTTTTGTTTGAGAGCCAAATCAAATAAAAAGTACAACGTTCACCTTGTTTTTCAAGAGAAGGTATCAGTGAAACTCAGCCTGCATCATTTGCACTGGTTCTCTACATCAGTCTGGGATTCCAGTGTCTTAAAGAGCAAAAAGCTCCAAATCCCACTGAAGGTTTAGAAATGCAACACAGAATTCCTTTATGATACTGGGTCCTAATACCAAACAATATGGTTCATCAGCATCTGCCATAAGCATTAAATTCCCAGGACATTGCTTAGATCTAGAGATATATTCTGTTGCAAAGATTGTGTTCTTTCTTTTCAAGCATGGGATACCCAAACCACACATTTTATAGAAAGGCAAAACATTCCTTACTGGCGCAGGGAAACATTAGAGATTGGTTAAAGCTGATAATCACATCTAAAAATCATAATGCCAGTCTAATCTGATTGCCTCACTTTTGCTAGGAAAAGTTACGAGGCAGTGTTTGGTGCTTTTCAGCTTATTTAGTGAAGAGTTGCTGTATACCGTTCCTGTGGCAGCCCACGCTTCTTTGAGCTGTCATCAGCCTGTTCAGATCTCCGTGATGGGAGGTAGAGAGGAGATGAGTACTGGTTTCACAAGTTCATAGCTGGCAGGTTTCACAGGCTCAACCTTTTCCTCACAAAGTATCTTCAGCTCTCCCACCCAGCGCTTCCTGCTGCGTGTCCCTCAGTAGGGTGGCAGGAAAGTCACAGGAACAGCAATTGCTTTAAAAGTTTGGCAGAGAGGAAAAATAAGGTCAGCAGTCTTTTCAAACCACGCTTATTCAGAGGGCAAGCCCTTTTACGAGAGCTGCTGAGAGTCACTTACTTGCCATTGAGAGGAAAAATGAAATCCATTGGCAAGCCTTTGAGCTTCTGCTTACAATTTCAGTGTTTTACACTCCTACCTACTCATTTTGGCTATCTGCTTTTTTATTTCTTAGCTGTATTGCACAAGTAATCTTACTGGCAGCCAAAAATTTTATTTGCCAGCTTCTGTTCTCTTATTTTAACTTGGCAGACTTCAAGGATGGGATATTGATGGAAGTGTGGGGTTATAAGATCATTACTTTTATAGCCCATGTAAAACAGTTGTCCTTTATGACACTCATAATGCATTTTATCAATTACAGTTCTCTCATAAAATATGATTGGAGAAATAATAAATTTATGCTGCCATGGATGGGTTCAAAGTCTTGCAAGAAATTGCAAGAAAGAAATAAAGTATGATGAAGATTTCTATGTACAGACGTTTAAGTGGTGGCTCAACAGTACAATACATTGATTTTTAGAGCTTCTAGTATTGTATCGCAAATGTTGCAGCACTGTAAATTTGTGTTGCCAATTCAAATTTGTCTACAAATATTTTGACACTTAATTCTATTGGTTTTATGTTGGATCAAGTATCACGTCTGCTCCTGCAGCTGACACTAACTTCATGCTATGTACTTGGGGTGATTTGGCACAAATATAATTCTGTGTCTGATCCCAATTATATGCGTGCTGGTGGATGATCTGGTAGCACACAGATACAGGTGACTGTGAAGCTGCAGTATGAAGTGAAGAGGTGTGCTGCTATGTAGATGCAGGAGGCAGAGAAGTGAGTTAAAGGAAAGAGAAATTACAGGGGTCTCTAGGCACCATTACCTCCAGCATGAAAAAGGAAATATGATTTTTACCAGTGTCATGTTGATTAAAATGTTCTTGTGTTTTTCAGCATGTGGATATAGCAGCGCTGTTGATCAAATACAATACGTGCGTAAATGCAACAGATAAATGGGCATTCACACCATTGCACGAAGCTGCACAAAAAGGAAGGACACAGCTCTGTGCTCTGCTGTTAGCTCATGGAGCAGATCCAACCATGAAGAATCAAGAGGGTCAGACACCATTAGACCTGGCAACAGTAAGTTCATGTTAGCGTGCCAGCCACTGGCTTCTCTGGAGGATTTGTTGTGCGTATTAAATGGCTCTCTGTGATTCCATAGCAGCAGCGGTCCTCAGCATTTGCTGTGCTGAGGCAGAGGGAGATGAGCATCTCCAGGGTGCACGTTTGTGGCTTTTTACCTGTGGGTCCAGGTTTTTTCCTTTGGATGAGATCCTAACGTGGCTTGTGATTTAAGGTTTGCTTCTGCTTAAGGATTCACTACCAGGATAAATCTCCTCATTGCCAGAAATAAACCTCTCTGAAATGTCTCCAGTGATGGTGAATCTGTGTACTGTTGGTGATTATTTCTTTGAGCCTAGGAGGAAAATGGGCCTTCAGAGGAATGGGATCATTTAGAGCATGATTATGCTCACTGCCTACATATTACCTCAGTTCTTTTTGTCTGACTCCAAAACAACGTTTTAAGATTTGCAGGAGGCTATCAAACTTTTTCTAAAACTGGCACCCAGAAAATTTCTTGTTAGTGGTGGCAGTGGCAGCTGGTTAAAAAGCCTAATAAGGTTACATGAACATGCATGTCCCAGGTTAACCAGTCTTGGTGGGATAGGTAATGCAACCAAATCGGACGCTGTGTCTGGTTATAGTGTGAGCATCTTTTAAGGCCATTGATTACTTTATGGAGAGTTCAAGAAATATCTTCCAGAATAATCTGAGCTCTAGAAAACTCACGTTGTGATGAGGGATATAGGAACTATTTGATTTCTCTGGGGGGAAAATAAGGATGTCTTAACCATGTTCTACAAGAACATACAAGGAGGAAGTTCTTGAAGATGAGTCAACAAAGGCTAAATCCAGTTGTTAGCCAAGTTCATACTTCTCCTGTAGCTCCTGTCTCTTTTTTCTGTTACAACACTGTAAGATGTGATGATCACAAAGATAGTAGTAGTCATTCCATTGAAATCTTGATCCAGTGCAAAGTGCTTCACCAGAAGTTGAGCCTGACAGAGAAATTATGAGGTGGCATTGGTTGTGACGGATTTCAGATAAAGTTGCCGCATTGCTCTTCCTGGCTTTAACACCTATGAGGTCATTCTACCAGAAAGGAAATTAGATTTACCTTCTTAACGTACCTTTAGAAATGGGGAGAAGCCAATTCACCTATGTCTGAGCAGTGAATCGGAATGTTCTTGCAACCATGAATTCCTGCGTTACAAAAGTTGGCAATTTTATAACAGAGCATTTAAAAGAAATTCAAAGAAAAATTCTTTCCAGAGATCAGTGACTTGTGATAATGGAACCTCACATTGAATGTTCTTTCTGTTTTTCAGGCTGATGATATCCGAGCTTTGCTGATAGATGCAATGCCTCCAGAAGCTTTGCCTACATGCTTTAAGCCTCAAGCTACTGTTGTTAGTGCCTCCCTGATCTCACCAGCGTCTACGCCGTCCTGCCTCTCTGCTGCCAGCAGTATAGATAACCTCACTGGGCCACTGGCAGAACTAGCTGTAGGAGGGGCATCAAACGCTGGTGATGGAGCAGCAGGAACTGAAAGGAAGGAAGGAGAAGGTGCATTTGCTGCTGGACAAGTTTACATTGCTAGAAGTACAGTAGTATCACAATAGGCCTTGCTTTGTCTGAAAAGCATTTTTACTAGCCAGAAAATGTTTTATAGCTTGAACTGTTATCTGTGTTGTAAGGTGTCTGATGCTTGGTTGGTTTTCATGTGTTCTGCTAGGAGCATTGTTGGCTGTTAGTCTATGTTCGCTCTCAGTGATTAGGTCTGACTACAGAGGCAGATCTGATTAGGTGCCCAGATGTTCGTTGTTGATTTTATACAGAAAATCCAATGAGAATTATTTTGATGAAGGAATTATGATTGTGATGGCTGGGGGATTTTGCTAAGGCTTTTTTAACCCTTTGATTAGTATCTGGAACACGTGCTTTATGTCAGCATCTAGGTGATTACATAGCAAAAATACACCCACCCATCCTTTCCTTCTCTTTGCAATATGAGCCTGTATTTGCCACAGATCATTTGTGCTTTTTAATAGATGATTCTGAGGAAAGAACAGTGATGATCTTTGCACTGAGCTGTCACACAGTGGAAGTGGATTGTTCATTGTAGACATAGAGAAATTGATTGAAGAAAGAGTCACAGTTTGGGATTTTGAGGGAATCAGTGGTATTGCTTGATATTTTTTCAGGGTTTGTTGTGGGGTTTTTTTGATTATTTTTTTTTTCTTTTTAATTCAGGTGCATGGGGTATAATGACTTGTTTCTTCTCTTATAGTTTCTGGCCTTGACATGAACATCACCCAGTTCCTAAAAAGCCTGGGTCTTGAACACCTTCGGGACATCTTTGAGACAGAACAGGTAAGTGGCAAGCATACTTGTTTGTATGTTTAAAAGATAGACTGATCTAACAAACTTGAGTGACTTATTCATCCTCTAGTTGAGAAAGAGAGCCAAAAAAAAAAACAACTTCACGTCTACAGAGAAACAAGTATGTCCAAGAAAACCGCTAATAAGTCACCAGATGCTTTATGGTGAAGTTGAGGAACCTGTTAAAATCTCATTTGTTGCTTGATTCGGATATCCAGTGTCTTTCACTTTCTTATACACAAATGATGACTGCCAATTTGGCTTCTATTCTGAGAGTTACATTGGACCTTGTGAACTTTGAACATGATGGCTGTAACAAAGTTAGGTTGGAACGTCACCTGCAGTTTTCATGAATGTTCTTCAGCAATCTTGATATCCAAACAAGCCTTTCGCCACCTGTAGTGCTGCATGTGATGCTTTGGTTAGATCTAGGAAACCCTCTAATTTGACTATAAGCTGAAATAAAACAAAAATCTAGTTTACCTGGGTGTAGTCACACTGGAGAATGTAGAAACTACATTTCCTAAGAGGTTAGGACTGTAGCATTAACTGGGTTTTGCAGGGCTAACAAGTTTCAAATGGAATTGAGAAATGGGGGAAAAACCTGCAGATTTATCGGTAATTCACAATATATGAAAGGAGTACAACTAATGTAACACTTTCTCAAGCTTACATTACTTTTTAGAGCAGAAGTACTGCAGTTGTATTTGTAGACTCTTTTTATGTATCAATTCTTAGATTTAATGTGTTACAGTTAAATAGATTATTTGTTTGCATGAGTAAGATCGACACATTGGGGGAAGTGAAAGGTACAAGTGCAAGAGGCTGGATCTGGTGGTTATTTTTTCCCCAGGGATCTACTGCTAATCTTTTATGAGGGATCAGGAAACAAACATTTGAAATGTAATGTGTTGCTTACAGAAAAAGTTCCAACTGTTTCCGTGAAATGTTACAGGAAGTATCTCCCCAAAGTTAAAATGCCATATAATCTTTTTTCCTTTCTTATATATGAAGTATAAGCTTTTTCTTTAATTTGGAACTACTTCTATTAAGAAGCAAACCAACCTCAAACCAACCTATATTCTACTCACATTTCTATTTGATTTTGTACTACTTTTGCTTCCTTAACTCCTAACCTGTTTTTAAGATCTTCACCTGCTAATAAGATTTAATAATGCAAATCAGATTCACTATATTCATTCATCGTTTTGAAACTGTTTAGCTCCTCTTGTAAGTTTCTCTCTTGTAAGCTCATCTTCCTTAAGCTTATTGTTTTAAGCTGCTTTTTCCAAGCACTGCAGTTCCTTCATGTACACTTTTTCACCTTGGCTCTAGCCTCCTCCTGATGCTTTCTACTATCTGCGTTTCTTCAGTATTTTTTTAATTTTCCGCTGCACGTGATAAATTTCTTCAGTGGCTTTTCCACAGCAGTCCTAGCAGGGTTGTTTTCTGCTCAGTTGGACAGATGTTCAGTATAGCTATTAACTCTTTGCTTGAATTGCTTTCTTTTGAATTAATGATACTCAGTTTGTAGTGAAATACTCATTTCTGTTTGTGTAGTGAAAATAATGAAGTGCACAACAATGTGAAATTTTGAATGCTTCAAAAATATTCCCAGATTTTTCACAGCATTTCCATGCATTCTCCTTCCACATAAGTAAAAAAGTTTTTGAGAACCTCCTGTGAGAACGAGCTCTTGTTAATTGCTGTAAGAGAAGTAAAAGTTTTGCACAGCTTCAGGCTGTAGCAGTTGGGTATAGTCCTGTGATAGGGAGAGGCTTGCCAGAAGGTGGCAGCAATTAGAAGTGCAGCAAAACATAAAATCTTGGTTGCACCGTGAATACATTCCATTTTCTGAACTGATGGGTCCTCAGGCTTGGGAATCAGGCCAGGTTTGGCAAGTGATTTTTGTGGTCTTTCACCTTTCCAGATAACCCTGGATGTGTTGGCAGACATGGGGCATGAGGAGCTTAAAGAAATTGGGATCAATGCGTATGGACACCGCCACAAATTAATAAAAGGTGTGGAGAGACTTCTAGGAGGACAGCAAGGTAAATATGACACTTTTACTGGTTAGTCTAAGTGTAGCATACATCAGGTTCCCAGAAGTCACTTTCTGTAAAGGGTAGGCATAGTCACCAGGACTTGAAAGAATCCGGATGTCAAACGTACGTGCTGGCAGATCCAGTGGCTCAGTGGGTTTTGACAGGTAAAGAATATATTGAGGAAATACAGGCCTGAGTGATCACTTGCCTTTGCAGAGAGTGGACGCCCCTGAGGCAGCTGTGGAGGCTGTGGCCATTTCCAGGGACCCTGTTTCACCAGGCAGGAGCTTTTGGATTGATTTGCCCTACGTACCTACCCACAGGCCAGTTATATCCTGAAGGGTGGACCTCATGGAGTGTTTTGCTGCCCCACAATTCTCAGATGCTTCTTTTGAAAGTGGAAACCATAAAATGCAATTATGTCCCACGTGCATTTTCCTTTTCTCTTTTAAAGCTGCTGCTGCTAAGGAAAGCACTTTATCTTGTCAAGGTTCTGCCTTGTGTTTATTTTGTTTTTCCTGCTGTACTGGGGTTATTTAAGAAGAATAATGATTATGCTGGATGCAAATAGACCTGGTATTGTATTCTCCTGTTGATTTTTACTCCTTTAATTTCTTCTCTTTGCAGGCACCAATCCTTATTTGACTTTCCACTGTGTGAGTCAGGGGACCATTCTCCTTGACCTTGCTCCTGATGATAAGGAGTATCAGTCCGTAGAAGAGGAGGTATTGCAATGCCTTTCTTAATGCTCCGGCAGCAATGTATTTCTCTTTTCACTTAAAGCCCATCAGAGCTAAAGTGTGCCATGCATGTTGAAAGTGATAAAATATGCTTTGGTGTATGAATTGCATAGATCTGACATGAAGTGTGGGGGTCCTCATTTGTCTTTTCATACAGAGCAATGATGGAATTATTTTGCTGTGTCTTGCCAATTATTTTTTTTTAATAAGTGGTCTGCTTGCTCACTTAGTGTTATCCTAATTTTGCTTTGTTGTTGTCGTGTTTCGGATGTCATCTCATAGCAATGGTTTCCACAGCTTTCCATAGGTAGGTGGACCTGCAAAAATCAAAAAGCTGTGAATAAGACCAAGGAATGAAGGTCTTGCAAATCTGTAGGCATTCTCTGTGCTCAGGCTGTGTCTGCATGTGAACCAGCTTGTTTTCTCTTGTCTCAGTGGCTTAGTTAATCTGTAACCCAGATAAACAGCTCTTGGATAATTGAGAATTGACTGTGATTTTGCCTCCCACACACACATGCTCTTTTATTTAAGTAAACTACAAGCAGATACCATTTTGAAAGAAAAATCATAACAGAAAAGAGACTTTCTGAAGAGTTGTGTTTGAAAGAAAGACCATTTTACTGTGCATTTGCTATTTGTGTAGTGTTCCTACACTGTAGCACAGACACGTTTGGAGTCTTTTTAGAAGTCTAGATATTCAGGATTACTGCCACCTTAGTCTGGGATATTTTTGATTAGTAACTCTGTAAACTGGAGTTTTTGCAGATCTTTTTTATAAAATTTTCTGACAGAAGGGGTCACTTGTCTGCATTGTGACATTGTACATTGGGATATTTATTTGAGCTAATACTAATTGTTGTTGCTGTAGCTATAAATACCTCTGGAAAGGACACAGTGAAACTGTTTAAATTTTCAGGGGCTGCTAATGACTTAGGAAAATTTACAGTGGAAGCATTTTCCTGTCACTAGGAAATACGAACTGTACTCATTAGAAGCACATTTGTTATTACTTCAAAATTATCTTTTTGTATATTCATTTTCAAAGATATTTTTTTTCCTAATCTAAAGCAGGTTTTCTAGTTGTGTATAATTTTGATGTGCCACAGTTCTCCTTTTTCCTGTGTAGATTTTTTATTACAAGATTGGATAATTGCATCACCCAACTTCTCTATTGTGGAATAGCATAGCATGTTGGGTGCCTGAGAAATAAGGGTGTACCTCAGTTTAAAATAAAGAATTATTTTTTTTACAACTTTTAATTAACTTTCAATCAAGATTGTCTGTTGTTGCCAGTGATATACTAAGGTATTGCATGAATACTTTGCCTTGCTAGCAAGCTTTGTGTGCTGAACATTGTTGTGTTCATTTATGTAGATGCAGAGTACAATCCGGGAGCATCGGGATGGTGGGAATGCTGGTGGCATCTTCAACAGGTACAATGTCATCAGGGTAAGTTTCAAAACCTCTTAATTCTGTGTGGTAAAATAAGTTGCTACTTATGCAAGCAGGTAGAATTGGTTTAATGGATCACCATTTTATATTTAAAGTTCCTTGTTTAAATAATATTCAGGAGCAGAGTTAAAGCAAGTGCTAAATGCTAAAATTAGACTGATCGTGTGCTCTGCAGATAGAATGAGGGAGAAGTGTCCGCTTGTGCTCTTAAAGGAGTCTGAGGAACTGATATTGAAGCCTGGGGTGGTGGAGAGCCTGACTTATATTTCACAACCTGATTTAATTTCAGAGGTCTTATAACTTCTGTATTTGTCTTTGCAGCACAAGTGTGGGGTTTTTTTTCCTCAGGGTAGTTTTTTCTTGCCTTTTTAAAGGATATTTTTGGAGAGGGGAAAGGATGAATGTGACTTTTTATTAAAAGTTTCTATCTCCCTATGCTACTTTGGATCTCGACACCTCCTTCTTTGCCCCTGCCAACTAGAAAAATACCTTTTACAAGCACTGGCTTATCAGGAAATTGAGTGTTGTCTTTCTGAGGGAAAGTACACTTTCTGCTTCCGTTTTGGGGGAGGAGGTAATAGAGGAAATCAGAACAGAACTTGGTTCCTGAGCGTCAGCAAACCCCTGCTGCCTCTCTGTTTGAAAAGTGAGCCTTTGCAACTTGGCCCAGTAGATCATGCGTCCTGAAGTAAACTCTGCTTCCATCCTACTCCCAACTGAAGGTGAAGTTCTTTACAGCAACCACAGTGGTATTAGAACATGTGACTGGAACAATATCTCAAGATAATAGTTTAAACAGCACATCTTCTAATTTCTTTCCTCAGAAGTTGTTTCTTGTCATAAAAATTCAACCTAAGGCAGACAGCAAGCTTCAAAAAGCTAGCCCACATTGTTCAACAGAGCTCAAAGCAGAGGTGGAAGTTTCAGACAGTTTGTAGTTCTTTGTGGTATTACAGTCTCTGAGGGAAGAAGCCTGAAAGTCTTCCTTAAACCTGAGAACTTAGGCTGCTACGAAATTCACAGTAACCATCTGTAAACATGTACTGCCAGCTTGTTTGAAAGACTTCAGCCTTGCATGCAGAACAGCCATGGGGTTTCTTTATGCCCTTCCTGTGTCCTACTCTCAGTTTCCCTGTCAAATTTATGCAAACTCTGTGAAACTGTATTCCATTTCAATTCCAATTCAATTATGGTTGGACATGTACCACTGCAGATTCAAAAGGTTGTGAACAAGAAGTTGCGGGAGAGATTCTGTCACAGACAGAAGGAGGTCTCAGAGGAGAATCATAATCATCACAATGAACGCATGTTGTTTCATGGTAAGGAAGTGATCTCTATTTGTATGTACTGGTATTTAACAAAGAAAAAAAAGCTTACAAGGACCCACAGGCAATGTTAATGTTGCTGTGTCACCATCCTGTACAGTAATTGTATTTCTACTCTAGAAATGCAGGGGTGGGGGGAGAAGGGGGTGGAATTAGTCTGTGTGGTTACTGCAATCCAAAAAGCTACACTAGATTAAAAAAAAAATAAGAAAAAAAAATAGGGTTTTGCTCAGCTATATCTCAGTCATTTCCAGTAAAGCTGCTGTGAGAAAGATGGGGTATCTTCTAAAAGAGGGGAGCAGCACACAGTAAAAGCGTTATACCCTGGTGCTTCAGGCAACCATCAGGGAAAGGAATCAAAACTGACTGCGAGTTTCAGCAAGATGTTCTCTAGAAGCATCCAGAAGTGCCGCCAAGTGACAGTTCCCTGAGGGTCCTTCTGCCCTAGATCCTTCTATGATTCTGCGTAGGAAATTGGTTTTGGGTATGATTGTCCTGACATCTTGCCCCATCTTAACCGGTACTGACTGCTGGAGAAGGTGTGCATTGACAAGATAAAATGTGAGTGGGGGGAAAGCCATTTAATGAGATCTGTGAAATGACTAAGAAATATGAGTCACACGTGGGATCTTGGTATATAACGATAAATCCCACACATCACTGCATCCTGCTGGGTATCGCCCCCTTCCAGCTGACTGAGCACGCTTTCTGGTATTTAATGGTCTATTTGAGGCAGACAAGCTCCTCTTGACATAGAGTCCTGTATTACTATAGAGCTTAACAAGTATGTATGATAACACATTGTTTTGTGTCATTCTGTTCTAGGGTCTCCTTTTATTAATGCTATCATTCACAAAGGATTTGATGAAAGGCATGCATACATTGGAGGAATGTTTGGAGCTGGAATTTACTTTGCTGAGAACTCCTCAAAAAGCAATCAATATGTGTATGGGATAGGGGGAGGAACGGGCTGTCCTACACACAAAGACAGGTCCTGTTATATCTGCCACAGGTATGAGTCCAGCAGAGTTCCCTATACGTAATTCTGGCTGTCCTGGTTTTTATGATCCTGGCACAGGATGAATTGCAGGGACAGAATAGCCGCCTGAGCTTGGTCATGGCAGGAAAAATGCAGTTTTCCATTTGTCAGGGCTGAACAAAAAAGGATACAAATGCAGCGAGTCCCACAGAAAGGTCAAAAATTACATCTAAGCGTACAGTGAGTATAAATCAAAGTGAATTGTGGCTCAGGAAAGAAGCTTGAAACAGCAAGTTTGAAAATGAAGAGTCAGGGGAAAATAGCAATTAAACTCCAGGCACTCTCAGAACAAAACTGCAGTGCAAAGTGGTGGTCAGCAGTACAGTGTTGTACTATGGTTCAGATAATTTTGGAGGTAGTGAACAGGACTTAATCACAGCTTTGTTTTGTACTGGAGTAGATCACTGTGCTTTTCACACTTTGATACCTGTCCGTACCCTGCTGGTAGGAACACAGAGAGAGTTTCACCTTCTTTCAACAGCATTGTATAAAATGAACTAGAACAGACCTCCATGCAAGGGCTAAACTAAGTGTGTGTTTTCCTTTCTGCATGTCAAGAAAGATTTTTTTTTTTTTTTTTGGTGACAGGTTTTACACAGCCTTAGAAGTGGTTTCTAAAAGCATTTCTCCAAAAAGACTTGAGAAATTAGTTGTAACAAAATAAACTCAAAAGTTTGAAATCGTTCTGGAAGCATACAACTCCTAATGACATATTTTAAAATTATGTTTTCTTTTTTCCTTTTAGACAAATGCTCTTCTGTAGAGTGACCCTTGGAAAATCCTTTCTTCAGTTCAGCACAATGAAAATGGCTCATGCGCCTCCAGGGCACCATTCTGTTATCGGCAGGCCAAGCGTGAATGGACTTGCCTACGCTGAATATGTTATCTACAGAGGAGAACAGGTAAGTAGGTTAGCAAGGACTGGGTTTATGGAAGGGCAGAGCTTGGAGCTGGAAAGGGGATGTGACTAGTTTCCATACCAATTGTGCTGTGATAACCTGGTTGACTAGATTTCTTTTTTTTTTTTTTTTTTCATTTAAAAGTGGAAATAAACAGTGAACTGTATCAAGCCAGCAAATGCTACTCGTATTCACTGAGCTGCTCTGATTTACGCCATGCAGAATTGCCTAATTCCCCCTGTGCAGCACTGATAGAGTCTATTAGGAGTTGCAGTTTCTCTCAGTAGGCGCTGTTGCATTTTACCGGCATTACTGCATTAACAAGAACAGCTGCGTTTCTGGGGGTCTTGTACATCTTCAGGATTCTGGGCTTTTTACCTGTAGATTCCCAGCAGTGACAGTGTCACTGTCTCCCTTAAATGGCAGCTGAAGTAGCACAGCAACCTTCAGGAGCTGAGTTTTAATTTGAATAATTCAACTAGACCCTTACTCTAGAAAAGTGGTTTGCTTACTACTCTGGATGGCTCCAAAATTATATCATAAGTTCAGGTTGGAAGGGTCCTTGGGGAGGTCACCTAGGCCAGCCTCTTTAAGATCTACCAGATCTTGAAGGCCTCAGAGAATGGTGTTTCACAGCCTCTTTCAGCAGCTTGTTCTTTTATTTAATTACCCTCAGAGTAAAAAATATCATCTTTGTATCCAATAGGAAACTCCCCTGTTTTAATTAGTCTCATTCTCCTGCTGCACATCTCAGGAAGGAGCTCTCTTTTCTCAGTAGCCTTCCATACATGATGGAAGATTGCTATGAGGTCCCACAAAGCCTTCCCTTTTCTGAACTGAACAAGCCCATTTCCCTCACCCTTCCCTTGTTTATGCCCTCTCCCCCTGACTATCTTCTTGATCCTTCGCTGAACTTGGCTCCAGCTTGCTGGCATCTTTCTTGTATTGGAGGGCCCAAAAGTTGTATGCAGTTCTCTAGGTTCCTCTGAATAGGGCCCTGCCCTCCAGCAACTTCAGCTTTGTTCTGGGACTGAACCTCCTGCTGGCTGTCTTCAGAAAATGCTGGACAGATGACTGGGTTAGGAGCTTTGGGTATGCCAAGTATTTTACTGCCAGTAAAGGCATTTGCAGGTCACATGGCAAGTCAGTGAGCGTTTTAGGGTCAGACTACATCGGTCAGCTGAGATTATTTTTTTTTTTTTTAATAACTTACAGGCATTGACTGATCTGTAGGATTAGCTAACAAGGAGAGTAACTCTGATGGTGAATTCCTGTTGCGCACACCATTTCTGGCAGCGTCTGCATGGAAGAAACATCTTTTTACTAGCGTATTAATGAAGGTGTTAACTATATCGAGCAGTTCCCACTTAGTGCTGGCTATGTTTTAAATCTGTTTTTTTGTTTGCAGTCTACGAACATAGAGCTGATGCTTGCACTCTCTTTTCTTGAATTACTTTCAGGCGTACCCAGAATATCTCATTACATACCAGATTGTGAAACCAGAAGCTCCCTCACAGACAGCAACAGCAGCAGAGCAAAAGACCTAGTAGCAACAGAGCAGCGAAGAAGGATGTGACTTCAATCCTGGACTGGATGGATACATGTTTCAGAAAATCAGTATCATATAAAATTCTTAACAACCTGGAAATAAGCTGTATGTCTTTTATAAAGCATTGCTGTCTTGAATACGATAAGAGTAACTCTTGCATACTCAACTGCTACTGTTCCTTTTGAGGAAAGTTTACAAGGGACTGCCTTTTAATAACATATCTCAGGCTCCTAGTCTCTGCAGTTACCATGTGTAAAATAACGTTGTTTTGATCTAGACTTTGGGAACATTATTGTGCAAATGGAAATCTTTATCAGTGCCATCTCACATGTTAAAATTTCAGACACTACTATCCTAGTTATTTTATTTGCAGATAAATTGCATTAAGCCCATAATTTTCTTTTCAGCATACACCATTCGTTTTATGTTTTCAAGAGATCCTCGTCAACTATTTATTTTCCTTTTGTATTCTGAAGTTGAGCCGGAACCTTCTTAAAGATATTTTGCACAAAGTCGAGTTGACTAAAATCATTAACAATGCAATATGAATTTCATCCGAGAAGGGGCTAGGTCCAGTTCTTCAATATAGGGTTTTTTTGCACACCGCTGAGCAAACGATAATATGAGTGAGTGTAACTTTAGAGTGGAAAGAAATCATGTCAGTTTGCTGCTTTGTCTGTGTGAGTTTTTGGGAGGAAGCCCTAGGAGGCGTTTGCAAGGGTGAAGCCAGCTCTTGTGCTTGAAAGAACTTCATAAAGCAGGTCAATGCCCTCTGCTGGCATCTCTAAAAGAACGTTTTATAAGGCTCCTATTAAGTACATGCAGTTTGTGAAATGTTCTCCAGTTACAATGCCCTATGGTTGTGCTGGGAGATCGCAGGTGAAAAGTCAGAAGATTGCAAACACGAGGGCATATCTGGTTCATGTCCCTCTGTAATATGAGACCCAGTAAATGGGTTTCAAACTGGTAAGGGAGAGTGTATTATAGCATTTTCATGTCACATCTTTGTGTGTGACATCACAGTTGAAGAGCTTAAGGGATTTACAAAAATAATAACTTTTTTAAATATCGATTTTACATTTTGATGAGAACAAACTTTTAAAATATCGGTTGGCAAGTGGATTTGTTTGCAGGTATACCAGAGAACAAAGCTAGGATTTATTAACTCTAATCCTCTTCCCTGCAAGTTCCCAGGTTTATTTCCCTGGGTAGGAGAAAGTTATTTTTAAGCATTGCATAGCACAGCATCAAACAATTCCAAAAGTCCCCCCTCATGAAGGATATGCATTTAACAAAAGTAAAAAACGATTTCTTTTGTGTCTTGTTTCTACAGTTTTAGAGAAGGTTGAAAACGGAGCCCTGTTAATTTTTTTTCTTAACAACCAATACCAGGAGATGTGCTTCAGTGTTGAGCATGTAACGACCGGAGAGAAAAATGTTCCTTTGAACACATCACGCTCTATCAACCAGCACCATTTAGTATCTGATGATCCAGTTCATGCATTCTGGTTTTATCGCCCTTAAAGCAAGGAAACAACAGAATAGTGTGCTTTTAGTTTACAAAAATATATGTGCTCCCCACAAGTGGGATTTTGCTGATGTGTTTGGATAAAACAACCTTAAACCCGAAGAGCTTTTCACTTTCAGCATTAAGACACAACATTTTCATTTTTAACATTAAGACATTAATGTTGAAGCAAGTTATCCTCACAGAGGAATTTCACCCACTGTAAAATCGGTCATTTGATGCAGTGTGGCTACCTGCACCTCATCTGTTTGTAATATCTCTAAAGAAAACCTTAGAAATAGCAATACTCCAACAGATCTTGAACTTTGGGTTTTATTTTTCTTGAGCTGGCAGTGGATATACGGTTCTCGCTTCATTTTGTGACCTGATTAAATATGTAGCTTCGAAGTCCAAGCCAGGCTCTAGCCTAGTTGTCCTTTTAATCAAATTTCATTGATAAAATTGGGTGCTTGTATTTTGGCTACTTGTTTAATAGTGTTAGGATTGCAAAGATCACCACTAGGCTTTGAAGCTTTGTATTCATCATTTAAGTTTGGGGTTTGTTTTTAACTTAGTTAATAATGGAGTGGGGGGATGTGACTATCTACACTAGGGTTTCAGATAGCAGTGAGAGTGAGTGTTGCTCACCATCCCCAGTTAGACATAGTTTTAAATGGTAAAACAGTTGTGCTGCTTAGGTGAGCAAAACAGTTAATGTGGGTGTGGAAGTTAAAAGCTTTACATCTTTCAAAACCAAGAACGAACCTAAAAACAAAAACCCCGCCAAGCCCGCACCAGATTCTGTTCTTGCTTGTTGTTTCCTGTGTGCTGATTGAACTAATGGCTAGTCTGGATTTCTTCTGCAGCCTTGAACTTCTAGAGGCTACAAATACTGTCCAGTATCTTTGAACTGCCAGTGTTAACGTATCTGATGTTCTGTGCAGAGTAAAGGTGCTGTGTGAGGAAATCATTTTGCAGTGGTTTTTGTCTCGTAATGACGTGATCTCCTGTCCGTTTCTGGCCAGACACGGAGGAGTACCCAGGCCTGATGGTGCGTCTATGTGTTGTAGAAACCTGTGCGGGAGTAGCGTCCGCCTCTCCTGGCGTGTGTTGTTGTAGCTCCTCTTACAGTTTAAAACAAAGTGAGGATCTGCCCATCAATATCAAAGTTACCCGTCAAAAAGCTGGTTGTGGTGGTGGAGCTGCAGGGGGCAGGTTGTTAATGGTACAGACGCTGCTGCTTTAGCTGGGGGAATTAACTTGATGCCTCCTAATTCTAGAGAATGGGGCCTTAAAAATAGTGTGCCCCCATAACCAGGCAGCGGCTGCCTCCTGAGAAATGAAGAAGTTTTTTGAGTCCCTGAGAAGGGCGATCCCCTGATAATGGGATGCTCATTTGCAGCATCGGGTCACCAGTAGAGGCACGGTAAGAACTGAGCATGCAAGAACAGGCTGGGCTAAGCCATCTCGTAGGCTTGGCAGCCTGGGCACCTCTCACTGGCTCCAGAGAAAGAGCTGTTCCCGCTGGGGCAGAACGTGGTGTCTGCTGGGGAAAGGAAGAGTTGTGTCTCAGGCCTGTTGATTTTTTGTCCGTGTCCCTTTTGAGGCAGCATTTTGAAATGTCTGTACGGTTGGTGACAGGACCTTAGTAGGCAAAACAGAAGGAAACTTCACCACGGAGCAAAGAAGGGAGGGTTCGGCTCTCCATTGCTGAAATTGTTTCCATGAGACAGATGAATTAGGTACCTGGTGCAGAGCGACATTGCAGTCTGAATGCTGTCAACAGAACTCCTGTTAGGATTAAAAGCAGAGAGTACAGTACCTTAATAAGGTGTGTCTTATTTTCTCATCCTTATTTTTATCTGCCAGTTTATTTTGATCCCAGCTCCACGGAGACTGTTACAAACCTCTTGTACTAGTTCCACCATTTTGCAGTCACTATTGGTCTTTGTGTGGTACCGGTGTTTTCTAACCCCCGTTTTGAATGTTTGCATGCGATGCGATTGAATCCCACTGCGTTATGCAGCAGGGGTTTATTTTGCCTGCAAACTTTTATACTTTGCTTGTTGATAACAGAATACCCCAAAACAAAATTCTACACTGAAGCGAAAAGAAAGCCCTGCAAAATGTTCTGTACTGCTGGCTTTGGTGGGCAGCAGACACAGAAAAGGCACGTGGTATATGGGACGGAGTAGCTCCTGGAGAGCTTCCTTGACTCTGGAAACCAGCTGATCCTACTGTTTGTTGTAGGTTAGAGGAGGTGCCTGCTCCCTGTGAATGCGTGAAGCGCTGAGGGATGCTAACGTGTTGTGCCACTGCGTGGCCTGTGGGAACTACTTAAGACAGTGGCAAATCTTCCTCAGAAAGACTCCATCCCCGCAGTGGAGTCAGCGCTCCTGCACAGTACACGCTTACCTACAATTACCGCATGGGACTGTTAACAGAAATTACCCAGAACAGACTTTTCCAAAAGATGGGTAAAAGGAAGGGTCCAACCACAAAACAGATTTGTTTGAACATTGCTAATCATTCTCGGAAGCTGAAGGGTCAGGAAGTGTGTGAATTTATTTTTTACTGGGATTTCTTCCTTTCCATGCTGCTTTGCCACAGAAAATCTAGCTCAGAAATCAAAAAGGAGATGCATCGGTCATTTTAAGCCATGCTGCAGCCCTGCTGAGGAAGATGTGGGAAAGTACAAATTCCGTTCTAGCCACAGGTAGCGAGTGGCTCGTGAACCCCTATAGACTTGAATCCATTGAGGATCAGAGGTGGTGGCTTTGGCACAGTCCAGAGCACGCTCCTGATCTTTCAGAGAGCGGCTGGACACACGCCCAGAGATGGAGTGGCGGTGTTTCCACCTCTCTGAACACATCGTAGATGTGAAACCTAGAGGATCAGGGCACAGCATGTTAAAACTTCTGAAGGAAGGTGAATGAGCCCATGAGGCAGTAGGGAACACAAGAAACAGAAGCATTTCCTATTACACTAACATAGCCTGTTAGGTCATACTATCTGACTGGTTTTGATGTATCTATTTCTGTCTTACTGAACCTGTTGGTGGCAAGTTTTAGTGTTGATTCCATTAATTACTAGCGTAGTTTGATTAGAGTCTGTATTACAAAATAATTTTGACACTTTCTTCCTAACATCTGCAGAACTTGCTTCAGCTTTGGAAATTGAAATGGGGATTTTTCTGTGCCACAGGCCCGTAAGCTTGTGTATCTTCATTCCTAATTGCTTTCTGTGCCAACCCAAATGGCAGTGTACCTGGGGGTTGAGTTTTTAGACCTTTTTTTGTATAACTTGTTTTCATAACTAGCCCTGTATGTTTCCTCTCTTGGTTGCCACTTACCTGGAGCTGGGATATCATTTATTTATTTCCTCCTTTACCCTCTCTCTCAAAGAAGACGATGGGCAGGTTCTCAGCCTACCTACGTGGTGGACTTTAGGTAACACCTCTGTAACAACTGAGTTTGATCTATAAATGTGCTTGGCTAAATGTCTGATCTGCAATACTTGTAATAGTTTAAAATTCAATAAATGCATTTTTAACAGTTGCTCTGTGAAAGCTGAGTGTTTGCACAAGCTGCTATTCTGTCTTGGTCTTAGGACAAACCCATGCCAGCCACAACTGTTGAAAACAGTTTTATTTTTATTTTCTCCAAACAACTTGTTTTATCCCTCCCTCAGGCAATAAATAAAAAGTTAATCTCTTAAAAAACAAAAAAAAAAAACAAAACCATACATATGTACATCAGCCACACAAGCATCTTGTGTGTTGGACTGCAGGGGGAAGGGGAGAGGTAGGGTGGGAAATGAGGCTTCAGGTGGGTGGAAGATGAGGCACGTTCTAGGCTTGGACCGAAAGCTGCGTTGCACAGGTGAGCGAGATCCGGCTCAGGTGGAGAAGGGCAAATGAATGTTGTATGAAGAGCCCAGCCTGTGGCATACACTGGTCACGAGGTGAAGGAAGTTTGGAAAGGATGGATGGATGGATGATATTCCTGGGCCAGCCTCTCCTCCACCCGGCTGCTTCTCTCCATTACAGCCCAACCATGTCCCATCCTACTCCTTCTGGAAGAGCAGCAGTGGGATGGGTGGAGAGGAACTGAACAGAGAGTAATCAGAAGCTCAGACTGCTGCCCCTGCACCTTCTTTCTCCTCTTGAAGCCACAGAAGATTGGACATAAGTTTTGCAGGAACCAGAGATCCACAGAGACAAGAAAGAGGCATTTAGGACTGCATCTCCTTCTCCAAACCACCCCCCAGCCAGAGATTGCTCTCCCCCACAGGAACGGGCTCAGCTGGTGACTCTGGAGGTGCCTGCCTGCTCCTGCATGGCCTCCCTGGCCACTGGCAGGGCTGAGGCTGACTGCAGGCAGCCCTGTGCCACCACTCCTGCTTGCTCCCAGGCCCTGCTTGTCACCCAGCATAACTGGCTCAGGTCAGCAGCCCCCACCTATGTCTCTTTGTGCAAGGCGGGGTAATGCTGCATGATAAAAAGAGGGTATGCTCCCTTTTCAACCCAGATGACCTAGAGGCAGAAATAAGGGGAGAAGGGGAGGTGTTATCTTTAAAAAAAAAAACAAACAAAAAACAAAACACCAAACAATAGAACAGGGATGGAAAGAGATGAAGACCAGGCACTTGAGGAAACCCAGTAGATGATTTTTCTTCCTCCCCCAACGAGCCTGGACAATGTCTGGGTTTGTGGCTTTTACAACTTTCATGCTTTCAAAACATAAGATTAAAAAGAAAAAAAAAAACAAAAAAACAAGATGAGGTAAGAAATTTCTCTGCGAAAAAGACGTTGAGTCCAGGGGTGAACGGCAGTGTCCGGCACTATTGCTTAACATGATGGGGCTCCATGCCCACCTGCCCCCTTCCACGCTGGGCACTATCTGCCTGGCTGGCCTCAGCCCCTGAGCTAACAGCTGGGCGACGTGGTGATGGGGCTGTGCAGGTATGGGAGGCTGCTGGGGGTGGCATGGACACCGACGGAGACTGGGAAGCTGAAGACAAACTGGGAGGTGGGGGTGGAGGTGGCCTTGCCCCTCTCCCGCAGTGTCCCCGAGGGGCTGACAGCTTCCACTGCGCATGAGGTGGCCAACACCTGCGACTCAAACTGCAGCAGCTGCCCCATGAAGCTGAAGTTAGGGGAGATGATACTCCGGCGCTGCTTGACAAATTCGAAGGCCTCCTCCAGCTTGACACGCTTCTTCATCATCAGGTAAGCCAAGCAGATGGTGGCGGAGCGGGAGATACCAGCCTGGCAGTGGACTAGGACCCGGCCACAACACTCCTTCACCGAGTCTGGAGGACAACAGGGGATGAGACATGAGATCAACACCCTTCCTTCCAACAAAGCCCAGCCCCTCGCCAAACCTGCAGGTGGTGGCTGACCTCCCTCCCATCAGTGCAACAGATGGCCTGGACTCTGCTGGACCCCGGTTCCCTCAAGGCTCCAGGTTTTTGAGGCAGGAACCTCCCCTCCCTGGTGAAACACACATGGACGCATCTCCTCTGCACAGGTACTCACCGATGTACTCAATTGCCTCCATGAACCAGGAGCTGATGTCAGCTTTGTGGTTATCCTCCACGGGGATACACTTGTACTGGTAGTGCCCCTCGAAGTGGTTGGGGCAGTCTGAGGATTGAGAGGGTTTTTTATTAGCAGCTTTGAAGACACAGTCTTTTTAAAAAAAAAAAAAACAACAACCAGAAATGGGGGTGAGCAGGGGACAGCAGTGGGCAGGACACATCCAGGTGGCTTGGAGGCCCTGAGCAATGCAGGAACCTGGCACCTGATCCCGGGCCCTCAAAAGAGGGAGCCGAGGATGCCTTTCTGAGCTGTTTAAACCCATTTCAGCCCTCCCTCCCTCTTCGTCCTGTTCAGGAATGGGCAGGTGTGGTTAACAAGATTTGGGCTTGTCCACTCCCCCAGGGAACACAAATGCCCTGGGATCGGGAGGACCACCACACTCTCCCATGAGAGGAAAGGGAGCAGGGCTTTGGCTCTGCAGGCCTCAGCTGAGGGAGAGCAGAGAGACTCCAGCAGGACCAAGTTGCAGTGCTGGAGGGAGCAGTCAAAATAGCTGAGCACCAGGCTTCTAGACATACCTGGTCATGAAGGGGGGTCCCACAGGAACTGCAGCCCAAATCCAAGGGCTCGGCGCTGGTTGGGGGTGACACGTTGCTCAGGGACTTGGTTTTTGCACAGAATTCAGGGTACTCCGAGGAGAAACGCTCATAACCCCCTGCAAGAAGAGAGGCACAAAGTGTTATCCCAGGCTATGTTCACAGCGCTGCAGAAGAGCATAGCTGGAGCTGACACGTGTCCCTTGCCACTAGATGATGCTACAGCGATGGAGAGTGGTCTCCTGCCCCAGGATGAGCAACCAGGCTCCCACCAGCAAGAGGGGGAATCCTTGAGGCCCCACCACTCCCTTGGACCTAGAGCTCCAAGAGCTCTGCAATGCTCTTGGCTGCCCCAAATCTCTGGTCCATGGTTTAGTCCCCTACACGCCGCCAGCCAAAACCCCAGATGGAGGCCAAGGTTGCTCTCTAAGATGATGGAGAGGATTTGTTGCCAGCATCCTCTGACTTTAACGGGAAAAGCTGCTCCCAGGCCAAAGACTGTTCAGTTCCCAGCTTCCTGCCCCAAAGCACAGGGAGGTCTCCCACTTTCCCAACCTGATCGTCTAGCCCAGAGCTCCCAAAACAACAGGCCAGGGAAGCTCTGGCACTGGCCAGGTACAGTGAAGATAACCCCACAGCAAAGCCGCCCTCCAGAGAGAGGTGTCCACTGCCCCTCAAAGATGTGGGTGTGAGTTGAACATGGAGGCGAGTGCCCTGTGACAGAGCAGCCTGCTCCTTTGACCTGCTGCCAGCGGATAAGCAAAGGTGACCTCCAATCTTCCTAACGGCAAGCAAAACAAGAGCAAATCCCATCAACTTCTCAGGACAGGGAAACCGCAGTGTTGGCTGTGGGTAAATGCTTCTGGTGGGACTTCCTTCTCTCATTCAAACCAAATCAACAACCCTGATACTCTTGTAGAGTCCCAACTCATACCTTAAAACCAATGGAAATCGGGTATTTTACTATCACCATAGGAATCCAGCTAGACCAAGCCCTGGCTGCCAGGATAGCTCCTGAAGACTCTCCCCAACTGCAGGACCTCTCTGCCTGCAGATTTAGGCTCACCAGAGCACACACAGCAGGGTGCGTATTCCTCTATCCAGCCTCAGCTCCAACTGCCCTGAGCAAGGCCGGGGGTTCAAGAGACCAGTGGATGCAAACATCTCCAGCAAAGCAGCCGAGGAAGTCCGAGGCAGCTAGAGACCAGCCAATATTGCCAGCCCCTCAGTGTCCTTTATGGTTCCCTCCCCCTTTGCAAGGGCGGGCTCCGGTGCCTTGAAGCAGAAACATGCATACGCATCACTGAATTTGCATTGTCCCTCCCAGTAGAGCAGGACACTTGGCAGAGGCTGCGTTTCCAAGGCCTGACGTCCCTTCCCAGTCCTCCTGGTTCGATTTGGAGGGGCACCCAAAACCAAGTGCCCCCTGTAAGATGTCTTCAGGAGGTCTGACCTGAAAATCCCAAGATCTACCACATCATATGCCAATGACCATCACACCATCCTGAGAAGGAGAAGCTGCCCAGGGTGATGTGTGGAAATGGGCTCCCTCCTTGCAAAAGCAGAGTGGCCCTTTCAAACAGTCCAAGGTGTTTCTCATCAGTGTATCTCATCAGATTTAATGCCGCTTCAGTCCAGCGCCACATCCAGCAGCGCACAGATCCTGGATGTGGGCGCAGGCCCTGCCTGGCGCAGGAACCACACTGTGCCAGTGCCCCTGGCCACGCAACACCCTGTTGGGTGGTTTCACAGGGAACCTGGCAGCAGTCTGACCTGCACCGAACAGATCCGGGTGTCTTCACCCTGACCTGCGCCCCACAGTTTGGCATTTGGCCAGGCGCGGTGCTGGGGTAGCACAGCTCCTGTGAAATAAGAGCCAGCTCGATGATTTTTAGTAGCCCTGTGCCAAGCGAGGAAGAGGTCTCTAGCAGCAAGACTGAGTCTCTAGGAGCCCGTTCCTTCAAACGAGAAGATTGGAAACCCCAAACGACCTCCCATGAGAGCCACAGGAGCACCAGAAGCCCTCAGCTGACAAAGGCCACCCTTGAAGCACCGCAGCGTTTCCCCTGCCTCGTGCCCAGCTCCTGGCACCACGACGGCTCCTGGCTAAGGACCCAAAAGCACGTTTCCCGAGCGAGCCCTCGCTGTGCAGGCGCTCCCGCAGCAGCGCATCGTATCGCATCCTTGGAACGGCTCTTGCTGTTTTCACTGTATCTACTACAACAGAAGCGCTACCTCCTCCATCAACCTTCTGAATGGATTTCCTACTCCGCATACACATCCTCACCCCGGCTGTAAGTAAACCAGGGAATAAATTAACTCTCGGGTGCAGGCGCTCCCGCAGCAGCGCATCGTATCGCATCCTTGGAACGGCTCTTGCTGTTTTCACTGTATCTACTACAACAGAAGCGCTACCTCCTCCATCAACCTTCTGAATGGATTTCCTACTCCGCATACACATCCTCACCCCGGCTGTAAGTAAACCAGGGAATAAATTAACTCTCGGGCTGTAAACAAAACAGGAAAAAAAACCCCAAACAAACAACCCACAGAGCTCATCCAGGAGCCCCAACTGAGCACCTCCTTCCCCTAAACCATCTCAGGGCAGTTCTCAGGACCAGCAGCCCCAACTGCTCACAGCACCTCATTTAACACATGCCGGCGCCGGGAGCGTGAGGGAGGTGGGGGGGAGCCCCCATCGCTGCTGTAGTCGCAACAGGAGCCCAGAGGCATCCCGGGGGCGGGGGGGG